TTTTAGTCTTTACTTTTTATATGAATGTGGTCATACTATACATAATCCTCTATGGTTTTATTTTTTTTAACTAAAGAACATCTTAGAGATTTTAAATAATTGAAGCAAAAGCCATAAAACTTAAAATTTCCCTTCTAAGCATATAGTTCTGTAGTGTTAAGTGTATTTATATTGTTGTACAGGTTTCCAGAGCCTTTTTGTCATACAAAAGTGAAATACTACACTCATTAAAAACCTTCCCATTTTTTCCTTCCCTAGCCTCTGGCATTTTGGTTTTTTTTTTTTGGCATGTCTGTAATCTCAGCACTCTGGGAGGCTGAGGCAGGAATGCCACAGTTTGATCTCAGTTTACTAATTCAGTGTTTTATTGAGATCCTGTCCCCCCCACCACAAAAAAAAAAAAAAAAATGGAAATGTAGCTCATTGTGAAGGCCTTGAGTTCAATCCCCATACCAGAAAAAAAAAAAAAAAATTGGTTACTTTAGTAATATAAGTGGAATATTTGTCTTTATGTGACGGACATGTTTCATTAAATATAACATCAAGATTACTTTGTGTTTTAGCATATGACAGAATTTCCTTTCTTTATAAGGTTAAGTAATATTCCATTGAATATCTGTATACCACTTTTCATTCTTTCTCCACTGAAGGGTACTGGGGTCACTTTTACCTCTTGGCTATTGTGATTGATACTGTCATAAACATGTGCAAATATTTCTGTGAGGTCATGCTTTTACTTCTTTGGATATATATACAGAAATAGGATTACTGGATTGTGTGGTAATTCTGTTTTTAAATATTTTAAAGAACAGCTAAACTGTTGCCATAATGCAACATTTTACATGTTTACCAATAGTCTTTTTTCTAAGAAATAGGATTACTGGATTGTGTGGTAATTCTGTTTTTAAATATTTTAAAGAACAGCTAAACTGTTGCCATAATGCAACATTTTACATGTTTACCAATAGTCTTTTTTCTAAGAGGTTTCAGTATTCCATATTATGGGTATACCAAAATATATATCATAGTACATCTTAAATGATTTATTTAATAATTTTCCCAGTAGATAGTTTTCAAGTTTTCTGTATTTCAAAACAGTGCTGTAATAGTTACCTTAATTATGTATCTAATTGTATATGTATGTTTTTATGTGAGAGAATTCATTGGAGTAGGACCAAAAGTCATACCCATTAAATTTTTTATACATATTACTGAATTTTATTTCCCAAAAGTTATTCTAGTTTATTCTTCTATCAGCTTACAGTATGCTTTTTTTTTTTAGATCTTTCTAGCACTGGATAATTTGTTTTTTTTTTTTTTTTTTTTGGTGCCGGGGATCGAACACACAACCTTGAGTTTGCCAAGCAGGCACTTACGCCACTGAGCTAAACCCCTGGTCCCCAGATAATTCTTGTCTTCTTTCTTCCCTCCCTCCATCCCTTCCTACCTTTTTTGTGGCACTGGGGATTGAACCCGGGGCCTTCACACTCATCTACATCCCCAGGCCTTTTTATTTTTGTCTTTTATCTTTGAGATAGCGGCTTGCTATGTCATTCAGTTGCCCAGGCTGGGTTTAAACTTCCATTCCTTCTGCCTCAGCTTCCCACAGTGCTGGCCTTATAGGAATGCACATGATAGAACTGTGGGGGACTGGCGGCGGCTGAAAAGATAAGAAGTATGAAATATAAATGACCTTTACTTTGAGAATGCGGGGAGAGACACCCCCGATCCCCTGGGGGGGAGGCATATCCTACCCCCCCCACCCCCCCCTCCAGGGGGTCGGTGATCTCTCCATGGAACGCGTGGAGTGGAGGCATATAAGTAGCCTCGGTTTGGGGTGGAACCTAAGGCAGTGTTAGGGATGCGCGGGTAGCCCATTGGTCTTTGTTTGGAGCCATAGGTAAATTCCTAGGGGTGGGGGAGATGGAGCTCCTTGGTTCCACCTGAGGCTTTTCCAGCTACAGTGTCCAGCCTGGGCCAAAACTCTTTCAGCACCACTATACTCAGTATCTTTAAATGTTTTAGAGTCTAAAGATGTGAAATGCTATCTTGTTATAATTTGCACTTCCCAGATTACTAGTAAGAATGAACTTTTTTTTTGTCTTTTTTGAGGCAGGGTCTCACTGTGCAGTTCAGGCTGGTCTTGAACTGACCTCAGACTCGCAGCAGTCCTTCTGCCTGAGCTTCTTGAGTGCTGGGATTACAGGTGTGCACCACCATACCCAGCTGGAGTAAACAGTTTTAATGTTTAGAGTGTAACTATCCTAATCATTACATGGCTTCTGTACATTCTCTCTTGTTAGAATGTTTTCTTAACTTATAAGAGTTTTTTATAAAATATATGTAAAAATATTCTTTTATTTTTTTATTTTAGACTATCTTGTCAATAAAAATTTTCTTGTTATTAACTCTGCTGATAATTTTCTTTGCATAGATTTTTGAATTTCATGCCTTACTTTGGTGTGGTTTCTTTAATGCAAGATTATTTAAAAATATTTGCTTGTAGGGGCTGGGGATTTAGCTCAGCGGCATAAGTGCCTGCCTTGCAAGCAGGCAGTCGTGAGTTCCATCTCCCGTACCGATAAAAAGGAAAAAGACAAAAAAAAAAAAATTTTGCTTGTCTTTTAATTTTGTGGTTGTTGGACATGTAAATGCATCTGGAATTGTTTTGAAAGTAGTGTGGTAGAGACATAGAAGTCATTTAACCCCAGACTGTTATAGTCTATCTTTCCCCACATATTTAGAATGTCACCTTTGTTATTTGTTTAATGTAACAGAATTGATAGATTTTAAACTTGTTTGTGTACTGAACCCACACTATATTGTGTACTGGATTTTGACAATATGGTTTACTTAATGGAGTAAGTAACTTCTCTACTGACTCTTCTTTTTTAGAATATTCTAAGTTTTGAGTTTTTTTTTCCAGAAGAGCTTTAAACTGTTCAAATTTTTAAGATGCCTTCTAGTTTTAGTTTAGATTAATTAAGGTAAAGTTTATATAAATTTTTTATCCATTTAGTAATTTTTTATTGTTTTCCCACTATGTTTCAAGTACTCTTGTAGGAGTTGGGGATATAATGAGTAAAACAGTCTAGAATAGGGTTACTTTCCAAGAAGACAGAAAATAGACAAAGTAAGTAAGCAGTGTATACAGGAGCTAATGTTTGAGAGTTACGGAGAAAATGAAAGCAGAGAGGAGAAAAAGAGCTGCAAGAATGGAAGAGGTGTCAGTGTGAAATACGACGGTCCCTTCATACATGGTTCACTCCGAAGCAATGAGGGGATGTTTGAGATGGACCCCCAAGGTTTGCGGCAGTGGTTAGTGGATATTTGGGGGAAGTGATCGAGTGAAGAAGATGCTGTCATAAAAGGGCGAAGACTTTGGCATGTTATTAGGACACAGGAAGGCCATATAGCTAGAGTTAAGTGAACAAGGGGAAAGCAGATTGCACAGGGTCTTTAAGTCACTGTAAACTGTATTCGTTGGTGTGCATTATGTTGAAGTTGATGGTGGGTTTAAGGTAGATGGTTGGCTCTCCATATTGTGAATTCTGCATTTATCCAGCCATGTATATAACATTTGAAAAATTACATCTAAACTGTGTGCAGACTTGCTTTCCTTGTTATTATTCCCTAAACAATACAGTGTTGATATTACACTTGTTGTGTGAGGTATTATAGGTAACCTAGGGGTGATCTAAAGAGTGCAGGAGGGTGTGCACAGGTTGTACTAGGAGACTGGGCTGTAGTTGGATTTTGGTATCTGTGGGGTTTCTGGAATCAGTCCCCCTTGGACCCAGAGGGCTAACTGTGACATGGTGCTTTAGTATTACATTTCTCACTGTTCTGTTGAGTATACACTAGGACTAAGAGGGAAGCAGAATGAACCAGGAGGACCCTATGAGAAACGACAGACCAGGAATTCCCATGATGCTGGTGCAAAGTTGTAATTATGAAGATTTAATTCAATATTCATAAACTTGTATGATTCTCCTTCGCCACATATCCTGACGGTACAGAGTTCTTAGGTTTTAAAAATTTTTTTCTTTTTCTAGCTCACTAAATGGCTTACCTGAAGTTTTTCAAACTGAGGCTCTACACAGTTTTACTTCTCATCTTGAAGAAGAATTGAATACCACTGATCTGTACTCTTACAGGAAAGTAGTTGATAATATATCTTCCTGTATGGAGAATTTTAACTTGGGTAAGCCAATACTTTTCTAGTACGTTTTCTGACTAGTACTGTCGTTACATCATTGTTATTAAGCGATTATTTTGGTGAGCCTTCTTACCAGTATTGTTTTTCCCTTTTAGGTAGAGCAAGTGTTAGTAATCTGCTTAAAAATGGTAAGTCTTGTTTATTTTGTTCTGAGAAGGGACTGCTTGTGTGAGTGCTGTTGGAACTGGCTTTTTAAGTTTCTTGCCAGTGAGTAGAGTACTGCAGATAGCTAAAGTACATCATTCTCCTTCTTATAATTTCAGTTGTGTGTTACGATAATCATTTTAGGTAACTGATATAAAATATTTTCTTATAGTTAAAACGCACAGTGCTAGTTTTGACTTGTCACTGTATTCTTTTTCTTTCAGTGCTTCATTTTCTTTGGAAGAGTTTAATTGAAATCCTAGAAGAAAATAGGCAAGTGTTGTATGTTTGCCTGCTTCTTGTATGTGTGTGTGTATGTGCGTATGTGTGTAAGTGCACACTTGCAGTTGTGCCTTGTCTCTGTACAAATTAACTTCTCAGAAAGATCTCGGGTGGCAGTGTTTTCTATGCAGTTATGTGCCCTTCATTAATATTAGACCTGATTATTTATGTTTATTGTATATTATTTTGCTATTTAATTTTAACAGGTCAATTAAATTTTGTTGAGAATTAGTGAGACAGGGAAATACTCTTTCCCTCACCTTAGAGTGTTCCTTCTTCATTGAATCCTATCTTAGTTCATGGGTGCAGTTTCTTTTGCTGCCTCTGAAGATATTAGTGATAGTTGATTTTTCTTGGTTTGTTCATTTAAAGTTTTATTATCTTTATATGGTTTCTGTTTCTTATTAGTTGCTTTTATCCCATATGCTGGGTTTGGTCACTACATTTCCTGCTAGAAATTTTCCTTCGAAGTGTAGAGGTCTTTGGCTGGGTATTCATACTTAAGAATATGGCACTGAGAATAGATTTGGTTATTAATTAGCTTTCCCATCACTGGGACATAGTACCCAACAACCACAATTTAAAAGAGGAGAGGTTTAATTTGACTCTTGGTTTCAGGGATTCATTTCGTGGTTAGCTGGCTCCAAGGCAGAAACAGCGTGGCAGAAAGGCTTGATGGAGGAAAGCTATTTAGTCCACACAGCTGGGAATCAGGGAGTGAAGGGAGGACCACGTTCTACAGGCATGGCCCCAGTGCATACCTCTTTCAACCAGGTTCCACCTCTTAACAGCACATTTACCTAGAACTCATTGGTGGCGCAGTCTACTAATGAGTATCAGGTCCCTACTAATGAGATCTAGTCACTCTACATAGGCCCCGATTTTGAACATGCCTTTTGGTGGATATTCTAGATCTAAACAATAATAATGGGGTTGGCTGCAGGTTTTATTTTAGGGCTTATCTAGATGGGCTGTTTCTTGGGGGAACTCTATGTCAGTATCTTTAGTTCTGCTTGGATGGTAGATTTGTCATGGAAGAATTATTGAGACCATTGTCTTCATATTCTCTTTGCTGAGGGCAAAAAGCTGAAGTCTTGGTTTTTAGCATCCTAATTCTCCTGTTTGCAGTATGACATTACTGCCTTATCTGTGGGTTCTGTTTTCCTTTTAGAAATTTGTGCTATTTTATATTCTCTAAAGGTCAACTAGTTGTCTCTGGCTTGGGGTATGATTCAGAATCCCTTTTGAAGCAAACTTGTAGGCATTTTTTCCTGTTTCAGCCCTGTATTTTCTTCCATATCAGGCATACTCACTGGCCAACAATTTCTGAGTGTTTGGGAGCTATAGACCAACTTGTGTCTAGGCTTCTTCTCAGGCTTGTTATTCACCTTGATTCTGCTAAGTCAGTTAACACTCATCCATCTGTATTGTAGCTTCTAAAATATTATTGCTATTGTCTTGCTGCTTGTTTATTGCCCTTGTATATTTATGTCTTTTGCTTTAATTCCCACAGCTGTTGGTTTAAGGAGGCGAGGGAGGGAGTAGAAGTAATATCTGTGTGCTGTCTTTGATTCAAGGTCTCCTTCTTCCCCAGGAGCTCCTTCTTTGTCTTGTTTACTTGCTTGTACTTTGGCTCGTCTCCAAAGTATGGTCCAGGCTTTTTTATTCTGTTTGCATTATGTGCCGGTTAGTCTCAGTTGCCAACTTGGCTGGGTTAAGAGACTCTTGGAAGTTGACTGGATCTTGGGGGCGCTCTACTTATCAGTGGGTTAATCCATGGATGTTCATTGTTGAATGTGCATGTAGGGGTGAGGCCTGGTTGAAAATGGGTGACTGGAGTGTGCCTTTGGAGTGTAGATCTCTTATGGTGCTCTTCCCCTGTGCTGTGATTCTTGGCTAACATGAGGGAGCTTTATTCCACTGTTCTTTTGTACCATGCTGCCTTGAAGCCAGCTGACTATGGACCAAAATCTCTGAAAGTGTGAGCCAAATAAGTCTCTCTTCTTTTGAGCAGTATGTATTAGGCATTTTGTCCTAGTAGTGAGAAAATAGATAAATACATGCTTAAGGTCATCCATTTCTTTGGTACCAGCCACCACCTATATATTCAAGATTGCCAGATGTATCACTCCAAGTTGAAGTGATTACTTGAGTGGTAGATTTTTGTAGTCACTTGCCTCTAAGATACCTCACGGTGGATATTTTATAGTTGTCTCAAATTCAGTGTGTCCAAAAGAAACTTTGTCTTTTTAACCTTCTCTGTGGTGCTGGTAACATCTAATTTCTGTCTCTGAATTTGTCTCTTCTAGGTCCTTTGTATAAATAGAATCATAGTCTTTCTCCTTTTGTGCCGGGGTTATTTCACTTACAATATTTTTAAGATTTACATGTCTGGTAGCATGTATCAGAATTTTATTCCTTTTTATGACTGAAAATTCTGTTATATGCATGTGCTGCATTTTGTTTATGCATTCATCTGTTGATGGGGATTTAGCCTTTTTCTACATTTTGGGTATTGTGAATATGTTGCTTTGAACATTAGCATAGAAGTATATGCTCAAGATCCTGTTTTCTCTTCTTCTGAGTATGTACCTGGGAGTGGAGTAGTTGGATCATATGCTAATCCTATGTTTGACATTTTAAGGAACTCCTAAAGTGTTTTTTCTGATTTGTGTTTTTATAATAAGATAAGTCTGTGTGCAAGGTTAAAATTGGAGACCAATTGGAAGCTATTTCAGTAATTCGAGGGAGAGATGAGACTCTTCAGGCCAAGATGGTAGAAGTAAAGGCAGTCTGACTGTAGATACATTTTGAAGGTAGAGCCGACCGAGTGTTCTAACATGAGATGAAGAGGACAGGAGAGAGGGATAATTGTAATGTTTTTTTGTAGGTAGAGATTTCAGCAGGTGGAATAGTTTTGGAGTTAAATGTAAATTAAGCCTGAGATAACTGTTAGGCAACAAAATGAATATAGTGAGTAGCCAGTTAGATACACATATCTGGGATTGCAGATGTCTGAGTTATTAAAAATTTGAAAATTATTACTGTTAGACTGTGCTAACAGATGAACTCAGCGTTAGGGAGAGACTTGATGGCAAAAAGAAGAGGGCTAAAGACTGAGTTCTGCAGGGCTCTGACATAAAGAGGCTAGGAAGGGGTAAGGGTGTCGCTCACTGGTAGAGCAACTGTTTTAACACTTACGGGGCCCTGAGTTGTCTGGGAAGTGATTGTGAGAAAATGTCAAACAGTGTGGTATGTTGGTGGCCAGGTGAGAAAAGATTGAGGGAATGTTGAGGTTTGTAAATTGTACCATTCTTCCCTCCCCTCCCTCTCCTCCCCTTATTTCCTTCCCTTCCCTTCCCTTCCCTTCCCTTCCCTTCCCTTCCCTTCCCTTCCCTTCTCTGTTTCTTCACCCTAAAATAAGACGCGAGAGTAATGTTAGTTATTGGCTAAGAAAGATAAGCATGTTAAAGAGTGTTGGAAGTTTGCAATGTTTAAATTATTGGAATGTTTATGCAAACAGAAGATAGAGACATAAATGTTCAGTATAATCTAAAATTGATTTTGGTGATTTGGTTGAGGAATATGTTTATTTTGGAGAGGATTAGGAATGATGACATTGGGGCTGGGGATTTAGCTCAGCGGCATAAGCACCTGCCTTGCAAGCAGGCGGTCGTGAGTTCAATCCCTGGTACCGATAAAAATGAAAAAGACAAAAAAAAAAAAGAAGGAATGATGACACTTCTGTTTGAATTTTCTTTTGTAATAATATCTTTTCTTCTTTGTAGAAAGTTTGCTGGAAATCATATTGTTCAAACACAGTTGATGAATGATTTGTTGGTAGGCATTAGAGTTTCAATGACATTAGTACAGAAAGTGCAAGATTTCCAGGAAAATCTTTGGAAAGTTTCCAGTTCTCCCATATGGCAAAGAATGTGTGACTTGCTGGGTATTTTCGCCAAGTTTTTAAGTGATGGTAAGTGTCTGGTAGCTATGTTGAATATTAATTAACTTTTCCTAGTAAATATATGAAGTATATTTAACTGAGTTGTAGAACTTCCTCTTTCTCAGTCTTTTAAAAAGTGGGGAAAGTCATAGATTACATGGCTTTAATGCTTTTTTTCTTTCAAATGTACTAGGTTAGCAAGGGAAAGTGGCAAAGGACTTTGCTATGTGTGTATGTTATGTGTTGTGTTCACAGAAAATAACTCATGATGCTTACCCAAATTAAGAAAGATGGTTTGGGAAAGGGCGGTGCATGAATTCACCTTCTGGGCTGGGTGGCCAAATTCTCTTTTTTTGGATGGTGAGTTTAGGAGTCATCTTGCATAATTTTTTTTGCACTGGGGATCGAACTCATGACTGTGCGCTTGCAAGGTTGGCGCTTATTGCCACTGAGCTAAGTCCCTGGTCCCCTGTGTAATTTATTAAGCTATAAGTTTTGGATTTTTTAAGTATGTTTTTTGTATTATAATAGTATTAACAAAAGTGATACCTAAAACTATAAGTACCTCCATAAAAATTAAATTGTCCTTTCTCTTTTCATCCCCAATTCTATATGGTAACATATATACAAATTTAATATTTTATTAAATTTAATTAATTTTGTGAGACAACAACACATTGAGAAGTCCAGGCTGACCTTGAACTTTCTATGTGGCCCAAACTGGCCTTGAACTCATGGCAATCCTTCTGCCTGAGTCTCTTGAGTGCTGGATTACAGGTGTGTATCACCATGCCCAGTCAGAATTTAACGTAATTTTAACAAACTGTTAATGGGCTCTATTTAGAGCTTTTTTTGGTACTGGGGATCAAACTCATGACCTTGTGCTTAGCCAGGCAAGTGCTTATGCTAGAGCTTTTTTTTTTTAAAAAACAAAACAAAACAGTAATTGACTAGTTTTGCTAAGCTGACTGGACTAAAATAGTATTTTGTTTATGTTTGTAGCCATTGTAACTAGTAAGAGTCCTAGTATATTTTCCTATTATTATTTTATTATTTTCATGGTTTTTTTGCCTTTGATCTCAGATAGTTGTAAAAAAAGGAGCTAAATTAATGAAAGTTACTTTTTAGACATGATTATGGATAATTTTTCAGGATTTTGTTTTGTTTTGTTTTGTTTTTACTGGGTATTCCTGGGGCTTGATCCAGGGCCTTTACACTGACCTACGTCCCCTTTCCTTCTTATTTGAGACAGTCTGGCTATATTGCCCAGGCTAGGATCAAACTTGGGACCCTCCTGCATCAGTCTCCTTGAATGCTGAGATTATAGATGTCCCACCATGTCTGAATAAGATATTTGATTTTATTAAAATAGAATTTGTTAATCTAAAAAACAAAACAAGCAAATAAAAAACCCCTGAACACTTTTGTAAAATACAGAGAATATATGATTTTAATAGAAGGCAGCTGCTTTTCTGAAAAATTGATGGCACGCAATGTTGTTCCCCAGGATTTTAAAACTTTATGTATAAATTAAGTATTCAGCTATAATAGAAAACCAAGCTTCAGAGCAAATGTGTTTTCTCTTCCTTCCCATGTGACCTGGAGTTCTGTACCAAGCAATCCAGAATTGGTATAGACAGTGCAGAACCCAAACATTTTCTGCCTCTCTGGTTTGGTATCTTTAGCATATTGGCTTTTACCTATGTGTTTATTACCTTGTGTTTGCTATATGCATCTCCAGGCATCATATTTGTATTTTTTTTAACTGGGAAAGACAAAGGTACATCAGCTGGTCTGAGCCCTGTCACATGACTACCTTTAGTTACAAAGATTAAGGAAGCAGATATCTTGTTTTTGGCATGTGACTGCCCCATAGTCAGTTTCGTTATGAGGAATGAAAGGCAGAATATTTAGTAGATAGTTCATGGTGTCTTTCATACTTTCCAGTCCAGCTTGAATAAATCACCATATTATCACAGACTACTAAAGATAGATGAAAAGAAGATATACAGTAAAAATTGTTTGCTGTGACTACAGTGCCAGTCATAGCAGTTTGTAATTAATAATGATATAGCTTCTGTACATCAGCCCTGAAATCTCTTTAAGAAAAGTATTTGTGAGCTGGGTGAGGTGCACATACCTGTAATCCCAGCACTTGGGAGGCTGAGGCAAGGAGGATCTTTGCAAGTTGGAGACCAGCCTGAGCTGCAAAGTGAATTCAAGGCCAGCCTGAACTGCATAGAGAGACCCTGTCTCAAAAAGACAAAAAAAAAGAAAAAAAAAGTATTTGCCTGTGAATTGGGATATGGAGGCATCAGTGAAGGGGAAGGGACAGGTGGTGTTGCCAGTAGGTGTGTTGAGAGGCTGTTGATGGAAAAAGAAGAAGGGTGGGTAAGGAAGGAGAGAGGGAAAATCACATTTATTAAATGTCTGTATGTTGGACTTACAAGCCTTTATATTCATTGTTTTTTTAAATCTTACAACTTATCAGATAGGAGTTATATTTTCCCATTTCACGTGGAGAAAGCTGAATCCTGAGAGGTTAGTAAATAACATGTCTCAGGCCTACACAGCTAAGAAGTTGTCAAGCTAAAAACAGGGCTCTCTGACCCCAAAGCATCTACGTTTTCCACTGTACTGGAGCATCTATGTTTTAACACATGCTCTGCTTTTTTGCCAAATAGATGACCTATTACAGACAATTCAGAGTACTTCTGGATTAGCTGTTATTCTTTTTATTAAGACTATGTTTCAACCATCTGAAAACATTCCTGAGTTGGTAAGTATATCTTCTTTTTACAGTTGTACTTTATTGAGAATTAGATGTGTGTTTCAAAAAGTTTATTTTGCTGGGCATGGTGGTGCATGCCTGTAATCCCAGCACTCAGGAGACTAAGGCAGGAGGATTGTTGCAAGTTCAAGACCAGCCTGGGCTACAAAGTGAGTTCAAGTCCAGCTCGAACTGCAAAGCGAGACCCTGTCTCAAAAAGACCAAAAGAAAAAAAAAAGTTAATTTTTTCTGTGTTGTCGGTTGAACTCCTGGATAAAAAATATTTTTAAAGTGAATAATGATTGTTTTTGCATAGTGGATCTTTTTTTTTTATTTCTTTGGTAGTGGGGAATCGAATTTACAACCTTGCACTTGCCAAGCAGTTGCTTGTGTCACTGAACTAAACCCCCAGCCCATACACAGTGGATCTTTTTTGATGATATTCGCTTATAAAGATAATTCCAAAAAAGACGATAGCAATCACTTGACAGCCTGTCTCAAGCATAATTATTATTGGCACCTTGATATCCTTCTAGTTTTTTGTAGTGTTGTAGTGTTGTTGAGTTATTTCTCAATATCATAAAGGATATTTGTAATACTAAATTTATGCAGTGGTTAATGTGCAGATATATACACATTAATAACTTCCTGATAAATATATTCTTTTTAGAGGCAGTAACCCAAATTATATACATTAGGATAGGAAGCATTGTTGGCTTTAGTTTTTTAGTGTATTTGAGTCATACATAAAATATAATTTTATAATTTAGATCACACTGTTTATATTTACTACTAGAAGTTTTTTTTCCCCCCTTGCTGTATTATCTGGAGATTTATTTTATACTTTTACAGTTACAACATTATATAAAATACATGTATACTATTCTAAGTTCACACAAAGTAACTGGATAAGATTGAAAAATTTTCTCAGATCACCTCTAAAAGCAGTAAGCTCATCCAGCTTTGGTGGCCTGTGTTGTGCTCTATCAGTGCTTTCAAATCAGAAAAAGATTTATATACTTGGTTTTAATTTTTCCTTTTAATATTAATATTATTATAGCAATTAATGTTTGTGGCTGCTTTACCATTATATTGCCTAGAATGTTTCAAGGGAAAGAGATTTTTGAATTTTTATTTTGAAATTTCTCTCGAAAAGTATGGAGGACTTTTTGTACATTATTTTTGCTGTGCCTTTCCAGATTAGCAGTTTACTTCTCCGTTCCGTGGACATCGCCAGGGTCCCAGAGTGGTTCGTGAGCAGCTGCAGGAGCCTTTGCTGTGCCAATGTCCCTGTGTCAGCTCTCCTGTTCCTGTGTCAGGGGGCGCTTGCAATGCTGGACTGGCAGAATGGCAGCATGGGCCCCAGTGGGGAGGCCCTGCTCGTGGATACTGTGCATGTTTTGTTCACCTTGAGTTCACAGTGAGTTGTGACTTTGCTGTCTTATATTTTGTTTTGCTTATAAAACATTTAAAAGATGCCCTGAGCCAGTGTACTTAGTAATTCAGTGAAAAGTGATTACGATAAATCCTAATTAGAAGTGATGTATGGTATGTGTAGGGAACAAAAGGATTGTGAAAGAGAATATAGGATGAAGGGGGAAAGAAAGTCATAGAAATTATTGGTGCAAGTTAATCTGTAATGAACATTTCTAAAGTTAATTTTACCTATTAGTCTCCATGGTAGAATTTTTCAAGCTGTGAAAACTTGAGAGGTGAGGTATGTAGCTCAGTGGTCAAGCACACTAGGTTCAGTCCATAGCACCAAAAACTAACACGTAAAAAACTAAAAATTTCTATATTGGCATCTAGGCGTGGTGGCACATACCTGTAATTCCAGCCCTTGGAAGGCTGAGGCAGATTACTGTGAATTCAATGTCAGCTTGAGTGACATAATAAGACCTTGTCCCTTCAATTTTTTTCTATATGTGTAGTAGATAAACATAGTATATGATCATCACATTCCTGATAGATGGTTAAGAAGTCTAATTAGTTGGACTGGGAAAATGAAGTTTAGAAAGATAAATGCTTACCCATGAGCATATTTCTAATAAAAGTCTGGGCCAACAATTATAATAAGGTGTTCTGGCTTGACAGAGCTGTGTTTTGTGTTGCTTTGGTATTTTTGCCATAATGGCCGAAAGTGATCATGTGTTTAAAAAGAGAAACCATAGATAGATTGATAATAATGAGGACAACCAGTGAGGTTAAAAAAAACCCTCCAGTGTTCTAAAAGAATTTTTAACATTTTGGAGCTATACTTTATATACTGTCCATTTCATACATTTAAAATGCATGATTCAGATTTTTGTATTTTTAATAGATTCATAAGAGTTTCTAAAACATTGTCATAATCAACTTGGTGGGTATTTTTTTTGTCTTTTTCCTTTTTATCGGTACCAGGGATTGAACTCATGCCTGCCTGCTTGCAAGGCAGGCGCTTATGCCGCTGAGCTAAATCCCCAGCCCGTACTTGGTGGGTATTTTTATCATTCCAAAAAATAGAAAGTTCCCTCTGCCTTTCTCAGCCCTTGAGCCTCAATATGTTCAAAAATACTTGTAAAAGAACATTCATAATGAAGATGGTGAATATTTCATTCCTCTCCACCAAATTTCCCTGTGTACAAAGTGAAAAGATTTATAAAACTTTGAGTTCTATTTTGGCTTTGCTTGTAATTTTTTGTTGTAAATTTAATAATAATTGAGTTTTTGTTCATTCTTTGCCTTGAATATTTCTAATTTCTGATTATAAAGTGAAATCAATTTATTTTTATAGTTGGTTTATAACAATATGGTTCCTGGTTCATTTTTCTTTAGGATTAAAGAATCAACACTGGAAATGTTTCTGTCTAGAATCTTGGCATTGTGGACAAATTCAGCCATACATATCCTTGAGTCAAGTTCCCCAAGCATGAAGGACAGTCTGAATGGGAATTCAAGCATAGCGGGGAGACTTTTGGAATATATCTATACTCACTGGGAACATCCATTGGATGCTCTCAGACACCAAACCAAAATCATATTCCGTAATCTTCTCCAGATGCACCTGCTCACTATGGAAGGGGTGGATTTGGTCACTGATCCTTTCTTTTTGGAACTGACTAAGGTTCTTCTGCGATTGGAATGGCATATTAAAGGGAAGTACACATGCCTTGGCTGTTTGGTAGAATGCATAGGAATTGAACGTATTTTGGCAATAGATAATACTATTCCATCGCAAATCTTAGAGGTGATGGGCGATCAGTCGTTGGTACCTTATGCAAGTGACCTCTTGGAAACTATGTTTAAAAATCATAAGAATCATTTGAAATCCCAGACTGCTGAGAGCACTTGGATTGACCAATGGCATGAGACTTGGGTTTCTCCTCTCCTTTATATACTATGTGAAGGAAACTTGGATCAAAAATCTTATGTGATTGATTATTACTTGCCAAAATTATTGAATTACAGCCCGGAAAGCTTAACGTATATGGTAAAGATTCTTCAGACTTCTATTGATGCTAAAACTGGTAAGAAAAAGTTTTATTTTAGTAATTTCTAGTTATGATACTTAAACGTAAAGCACCTAGGCAGCTATTAATCATAGTCAAATTTAAATATTACCACTTCTTTAAATGGTAAAGGAAGATATTATGATAACTCTTTCTTTCTTTTTCTGTTTTTCATTTTTTTGAGGCAAAGTCTCACTATGCAGTTCAGGCTGGCCTTGAACTCAGAGCAATCCTCCTGCCTCAGCCTCCCAAGTAGTGGGATTACAGGTGTGCATTACCATGCCCAGCAGCTATTTCATATTGAAGTAAATGTCTCTGTGTGTAGCTGAATAGAGGTTTGTTTTTTTTTTTTGGCTGAAGTCATTTTTCAATTCAAGGAGTAATTCCAGTTAAGGAAGCCAGCTAACCTTTATTCCAAGGATATGATTCATTTTACCAATTCATAATTTATTTTATTGCTAGACTGGAGTATGTACTTTGCATAATTTCTTATTCAAGTGATTGAGGCAGGAATTAAAAATTGTTTTAGGCAAAGTTAAAGACTAGTACATTGGCAGTAGCAATTTTTATCTCTGGAGAAGAGATAAAACCTAAAATAATAGTTATCTGTTGCCATTTAGAATAGGGGTAAACATTTCATTGCAATTCAGTAACCCTGAAAGAATCACTGGATGAAAGCATAATAGTAATTAATGTGGTAAATGATCATTCTTGCCCATTAAGATAAATCTTCAAATTATATTGTTAATAGTGCAAAGATATGGTATCCTTCACCACAATTTAAGAAATATTTTCAACTTCAATGACTAAAATATTTTTATTACATCAGCAAGTAATCATAAGGCGATAGAAAAACTTGATCTCTCTACAAAAAAAGACTTTTTTTGAGATGGAATCTTGCTATGTTGTGTAGGCTGGCCTTGAACTTCGGAGCTCAAGTGACCCTGCTGCCTGAGCCACATGAGTAACTGGGGCTATAGATGTGGGCTGCAGTATCGAGCTTCCATTATTTATAACCTTAATCAGCAATTGTTTTTGCCTTTTTGAGAAACTGTCTAAAATTTAGGATTCTTTCTGAAGAAAAATTGTCTTTTTATATCAAGGTAACTGTGAGCCAGAGCTTTCCGCCTCTTTAGTGATGGCTGATATCCTACCCTGGAAACCAGCACTTCTTTAAAGTAGATTTAAGATAAACCTACTTTATCTTTACTAATGAGAATGGTAGCTCCACAATATAAGATGATCAGTATTTATTTTTAGAAAAATAATGGTCTTTAGTCACTGAAGTATTTTTCTTATTCTTGCCAGTAAGTCATTTTTACTAGTGTATTGTTATTTTTACTATTTCACTTGATTTTTTCCACCCTGATTTACTTCTTAGTTCACTTTCTAAGTATTAAGGAAAAAGTAAACATTACTAGCAAATAAGTTATGATTTATGTTAACACTATGAGAATTATGTTTGCTTAAAATTCTTGATACAAAAGCAGTTTGCAATAATGGTTACTTTAGGGTAGGAATTTTAGATCATGTTCGACAAAGCTTAGAATGTTTTTTTTTTTTCGTTAAAAGATGATGTTAATTGGAAACGTGAACATGGGCACTGACAATTGTAATAATTATATAGCACAGTAATGGTTTTTATATTTGTGCTTTTGAGATAAGAGCCATCTTCCTCCTTAGGGTCCTGCAGTAGCAGAGGGGCTCTGGGAGCTTTAATGGCATGTCTGCGAGCAGCCAGAGCTCATGGACATCTGCAGTCTGCAACTGATGCCTGGGAGAACCTTGTGTCCAGTGCAAGGATAAAGCAAGGCTTAATTCATCAGCACTGCCAAGTAAGGAACACAGTTGCTGGGTATTTGTACATCACAGCGGGTCTGTAATTTGTTCATTCATTTAACAGTTCAAAATAGAGGCCCCTACGTGTGCCTAGTGCTGTTTTGGGAATAAGTCCTTAGCAAGGCCAAACAGGAAGTGAAAAGTATCATTCTTATGCTGAGGTTTCCGTATTTATTGAAAAATGAGCAAATTTGTGTAAATCCCGGGAAAACTGTGAGAAAAAAACACAGGTAGTGAAGTGCCATTATGCATACAGCCTTCCCTGGGAGGCTCAGAAGAAGCTGATCAGAGTAGGTGGTAGCTGATTAAGAATGGGGAGTGCTGGAGGAGGACAGACCACAAGGTCTGGACAATGGTTAAGGCCACTTGCTGACAGAGAGAAAGGTTTGGTGTATTTTATATACTGCTGCAGGGCTAGGCTGGTAATTTTGGGCTCTCAGCCATCAGTTCAAATAAACCATTCAACTAGAGCTGCTCTGTCTTCAGCAAGAAATCACATCAATGGTAACAGTGATGAGTTTACAGAGTAGGGACAAAAACTGACCAGGAGATCAGTTGGAAGTGCATGGCAGTCACGTGCAGAGTGCGGTGAGGGGCCCTGGGGTAACATGTCACTGAGGAAAAAGAGAAAAGGGAATGAAGCCGACTGAGCATTACCATGGAATATGACCTCAGATCGTTTATTTTTGTAAAGCACTCGTTTATATATTTAATAAAAGTAACTAATAGAAATAACTACCAGACCTTTGAAAACTTTTCTCAAGTGCACAAGGATAAGCTAAAACTTTTTTCCCTTTGGTAGCCTGCGTAAATAATTAGACATTTCAGTTGATTAAGGTTTTACTTACTTAACTGGCAAATAAATGTTTTGTTGCTTGATGTATTTTAGGTACGGATAGATACATTAGGCTTGCTTTGTGAAAGCAGTCGAAGCACAGAAATTGTTTCTGCAGAAGAAATGCAGTGGATTCAGTTCTTCATCACATACAATCTTAATAGCCAGTCTCCAGGAGTGCGGCAGCAGATCTGTTCTCTTCTCAAAAAGGTAGAATTTTACATCAGAAAGTATTGGAAAATGGTGAACTTTGTTCTGGAAATCATTTTGAAAAAGAGCTCAGGTTCTGGGCGAGGGCGGGGATGGTCATGAATTGAGCAATCACATCTCTTCATGGCCCTCCTGTGACCTGCTCAGTGATCTCATAGAGCTTGTATTTGAGGTCAAAATCCAGAGGAAAAAGTTCTTTCATTTTGGTCTAGCAAATCAACTTTGAGCTTTTTTTTTTTTGAAAGAAAATAAACTAGCACTGGGGTGAAAGATAGTTTTAAGAAAACTTTGATAGTAGGATGAAGGATGTAAAATGATTACTTTTGAATTAGTCACAACACATTTCTGAGGTGAATAATTGGTATAAAAATGAGTACATCATCTTTAGATTCAGGCCAATTTAAAGGAAATGAGAGTTTAATGGCAGTATTCTAGTTGCAGTAATACTTGTTGGTTTTTAAAAATGTAAATATCAATTTTTTGCCATAAAATTAACATAATAGACTTTTAAGAGTTTAAGAGTCAGTATTCTCCTTGCCTTAAAATTTCCCTTTCATGGTGGCCTTTCAGTTCAATATGTGTTTTACTTATGCTTTGTTTTTGTCTCAAAAGTTGTTTTGTAGGATACAAGAAAGTTCTCAGGTACTTTATAAATTGGAGCAAGGTAAATCCAAACATGAACCAGAGAATGGGTTAACCAAAGAGCAACCTTCTGTTTCTTTACAGCAATATAAGGTAGGAGAAAAAGTTCCAGACATACAGAGCCTTATCGAACCTGAAACAATTACGAATATGCATGTGCATATTCATTAGAGGGAAATAGATGGAAGTTTCTTGGTGAACTGTGTTTCTGTGCTATTTATCTTCAGGGTTGGTGTTACATAAACCTCCTGGGGATTGAGTGTCCACTCCTGGGGACTTTTACAGAATGATATTAATGGGCTCACCTCCATAACTTACAGCTTGTACCTTTAAAACACAGGTAGGTCACAGCTCCCAGGGTAAAAGATGGCTGTGGCTGGGCCTATTTCCCATTTAGACTCAGGTGATTTACAGTGTCTTGATGTTAGTGACTGCTGGTTCCACAGTCAAGCTATGGAGTGGCTTTGGGTCCATTTGCTGTGACCCATAAGGAGTTGGGCTGAATTCCGAGGCACTGTGTTAATAGGGTAGATGAAGCCCCGGATATAGCGGCTCCCATCTGGACCAGGGTGTAGTTTGACAATCTTGTTTCTTTTCAGAAGAACAAATGAACTTTTCACTGGTTTTTGACTCCTAATCTAGCCTTTCAGAAGCAGAACCTTATTTTCTTCTGAGACCCAGGTAGAAGACAGTTCAAGGAAACAGATATAATAAATTAATAAAACACTTGAGCTATGACATACTCAATACCTACTCGAAACATTTGTATGGTTGGTCTTGATTTTCAATTTTTGTATTTAAAAGGTAGAAACACTTTTTTGGGGGAGAGGGGACTACTAGGGATTAACGCAAGGCCTTCACACCAACCTGTGTTCCTAGCCCTGTAGATTTGAGGATGAAGTAAGAAGGCTCAAATGAGAAAGCTTCTTGTAAACTTTTAAGTCATTCTAAAAAGCTTTACTCAGAGCCATTAAAGTGACTTAGAGTATATAATAAGCCTGTGCTCCTGTGTTACTGTGACAATTCTGTGTTAAACTCTCTTACGTCAGTGCCAGATTTTTAAAGACATGTCTTTTGTTTCTTTTGCAAAGGAAGTATAATGATGTTCATGAAATCTTAAGTACATAGAAACACAAACTATTTTGTGGATGGAGATTCTAACTTTTCATGTATGTGGGTTTTTTTTTAAGATTATGCTTATGGATATGCATTTTTCAAGCATTAGTCCTCTGAAATTTAATCTGGGTCAGCCTTGTATTTATGATCTTTTTTCCTAACTAGTGGTTATCTGTTGCTTTTGGAGTTTGACCTTGGTGCTGTGTTGTTGTGATCCTCATGATAGTGGGTGCTGTGCATTCTGGATGGTAGGCATACTGCAACCAGCAGACAAGGTGCTGGAGAAGAAAAGGAGGCTAGTGGTTGAAAAAAATGTCTTCATCCCTAACCAATACCATATTAGTAATTAGAGTGGAAAGCTGAGGATCTACCTCAGTGGCACAGCACCTGTTTGGCAAACACACGGTCCTTTTTGACCCCCGGAGCTCCCCTAAAAAAATTAGAATAGTTTAAAATTAGGAAAACCAGCATCATCCAGCTCTGGGACAAATCAGGTGCAAATTATATGTTGTTTTCCTAAAATGGGGGTTTTTATTTCTTGTTATCTAAGGTTCAATAGAAATTATACTTATATCTGCAAAGGTAGGTTCCATTAAAGTTGTGATACACTGTTATGGTCAAGGGTCTTGTCTTGATCCTTTTGTGTTGCTATAACAAAAAACCTGAGGCTAAATATTTCAGAAGGAAAACAGGTTTATGAAGTAAAGGGGTGACTATAAATTTCCAACAGCACTGTACAAACATCTTGGCAAGAACCCTCTAGTTGTGTCACAGCATGGAAGAAAAGAGGATAAAGGTAGAAGGAGCATGTGCAAGGGTACAGAAGCAAGATAGCATTCTAGCAAGTGTGACTTGTATTATAGCAACTCATTCTTGTATGAACTCACTAGTTTCACAAGACCAGACTCCCAAGAGGCAACATTAATTTGCTCATGAGTGTGGAAGCCCCTGACCAAATCACCTTCTGCCCTGTGAAAGGTCCCACCATCTCAACCCTGCCACACTGTGCATCAAGCTTGAAGCACGTGAAGCCTAAGGACTCAAACCATAACAGTGCCAAGATGAATTATCACGAGTAATAACTAGTATTGTTTAAAAAAAAAATCTTACTGTCAATTTACAGTGAATGAAAACACCCACTCTTAGGAGTGATGCTCTGGGATAACTTGTACTGTAAATTTTTTTTAGAGTTTCATGTCATCCATTTGCAACAGTCTTTTTGAGGCGCTGTTTCCTGGATCTTCCTACTCAACTAGATTTTCTGCTTTAACCATCTTAGGATCAATAGCTGAAGTTTTTCCTTCATTAGAAGGTAAGTTTTTAGTAACATTTGGAGGAAGCATTCTTTTTTTCCTCTCAAAGCATGTGCACTTGCAGTATTTTTTGCTTTACTTGAAGTTTCAGTTTTATAGTCTTTTCTTTACGATTTCTTCTTAGCATTGTGTCCTTATTTTATGTAGTTTAATTTGCTAGTAAAGGATATGAGGGAGAGAAACTGTCTCTCTTCATTGATCATTGTTTGCCAACTCAGAACTACAATTTTCATGGATTACACTTGTAGGGAGAGTTGCTGCTCTTACCTTATTTTGTTTTTCACTGTTTTAAGAAAGGACTTAATTTGTTCTCTAACTGTTAACAATAAAAATAATAATATCTCTCATGTATAATATTCCTCAGTGAGTCTTTGTGGTTAAAATGTGGTTTCCCTTATGTACTATCTGTTTCATAAGCTTCAGGCTGGTTTCAGAAAGACATCATGAGGATGTCATTTCCAGGCATCCTGACTTAATGATATTCTGATTTTCCTCCTTTGAGGTACTTGAAAGGATGTGCATTTAATTTCCCTCTTTGAATCATTTTTTTCCCCCTTTCTGGCAAGAAATGATTCTTTTTGTCTGCATACATGACTGTATGTATAACTTAGTGTGGCTTTCTCGCTTGTACCCTGTTCTTGATGTTGTCAAGCAAGAACATACCTAGCTAAGCTGCTCTTTAACAGGAGGTACTGGAGGATCAGAGAACTTTACATGATAGCTGTATTCTTTTTCATTTTCTATTATTAATCAAAGTAAAATATTTTTATGGGAAATGGAGGGTTAGTTGCTATTAATATGTGCTTACTTCATTTGAAGAAAATCCTTTTCTTTAAGTTTTTAGTTTGGGAAAATTCAATCCACCAGCAAAGTTTCAAGAATAGCGCAGTGAACAAGCAAGTACCCTCTACATAGATTTATCAGTTGTTAATATCCTGCCATATTTGCTTTATTTCTATTTATTACTGATTTTATAACTGCCACACAAAGATCAAATTCCAGAAATTTAATGTTGTATAGTGCTATTATCTAATACCTGATCCATATATGCAAATTTTGACACTTGTCCTAATAAATGATCTATCATAGGAAAAAGAAATTTCCCACAATCTAGAAATAGATCATAGATCCCTCATTACATTTTGGTGTTATGCCTCTTTTTAGTCTTCTTTAATCTGGGACTTTACTTCATTGCATTAACATTTTGGAGGAATGTGTCTCAGAGTTAAGGTTTGTTTCTTTGGCAGAAACATTGCCAGTGTTCTTAAGCTGTCATACCAGGAGGTACATTATTGACTTGATCCATTATTCACTACGATATACTTTTTTTTCCCTACTGGGGAATGAACCCTTTGTCTTCACACTGAGCTATTCCATCCACAATGATAAATTCAATCACCCTTTTTAAGATGGGGCAGTAGGCTTTAACATGGCCTCCGAAAGACATCTGAAAAATTCTCAGAACTTATGAACATGAACCTTTGTACAGAAAAAGGGTCTTTACAGATACAATCAAGTTAAGGGATACTGAGATGGGATAATCCTGATTATCTGGATCGATCACAAAATGTCATTGAATGTATCCACGTAAGAGAGAGGCAGAGACAGACTTGACGCCCAGAAGTGAGGAGTTGTGACAGTGGAGGTCTGCAGTGTAGTGATATAGCTACAGTTTATGGAATGCTACCAGGTTCTGCAAGAGGCTCCTTTAGAATCCTAATTTTAGACCTTAGATTTCCTAGATACTTAATTTTAGATTTTTGGCTTCTAGAACTGTGAGAGAATAAATTTATGTGTTTGTATGTGTATGTATGTGGCTTTTAAATCATCAAATTTTTGGTGATTTGTTACAGGATTCATAGACAATGAATCCAAGGCGAATTTTAGTGGTACTACAGCTGGACTTAAGTTTTTAATATGAGCATGACAGATTATTCATTTAACAAAAAAATTTTTGCACTTTTAATGAATTTATAGTTACTGAAGTGTACAGGGAAAAACCATTAGGCTTAAGTAGACTGTTCTTTTTCAGTCAGGAGAGGAAGTGAATATATTATAACCCATATACATTGAAAGTGAAAAACCTGAGTTGTCTTAATGAATGAGTCACATATAATTGGGCTGTAACTGAATCATAGTAATTATATTAATCAACCAACTGGCAGGCAGTGCAAACATAGTAGCCAGATTGTACCCATTAATTTTATTTATTTATATTTTATTTTATAATTAAGTTTATTGGTACAATTTAAATATGCATAATGACCACATTCATCATAAGGAATTTGTACCTCTACACGATATATCTTATTCCTCTTTTTCCTACTTTCCTCCCTTCTTTTTAACTCTTCATCCCTTTCTTATTTATAAAGCTTTGTTTCCATTTTATCCCTTTTTTCCTCATTTTTTTTTCTTTTCCCTTCACTCACTCCCAGTCCCAATACTCATTAATTTTAAAGGAGGCTAAGGAGCCTGAAATACAGGATAGAAAATTTATCCTCCATTTGCATTGAAATAATTTTCATGTGAAGATTTTATGTTCTTTTATATTTGGTTATAGACAAAATGTTCTTTGCTTTCCTAAAGTGTATCCCAGACAAAAAAGGAAAAAGCCACATATATCTTTCTTCACGATGGAACTTGGATCCTGTAATTAAAAGGGTTTGTTCAGCAAATACTAATTTAGTGCTTATTGTATATCAGGTAGCCATTGATAATATAATGTATAAAACAGAGTCCTTCCTCTTTTGGGACTTAAGTTTTAGTGAAGGAAAACAGTACAGAGCAAGTAACACATAGAACTATAGATGGAGAGAAGTTCTAGGAAAAAAATATTTCAAGAAGACAAAGGGAAGCTTCAAAAGGAAAGAACCGGGATAGGGGAATGGAGTAAACAAGGAAGGTAAAAGAAGAAAAAAACAAAAAAGAAACTGTGTAATAGTTAAGATAGTTATACCTCCAGTTTCTCTTAGTTCTTTGAAAAGAAAGATTTGTGCTAATATTGTTTGAACAGTCAAGTGCCGGTATCTTGCTCTGAGTAACTAATTTACAGATAACAGTGCACAATGTATTAACCATTCTTGCCCTCTAATTATCTTGTTCGGAAAATTTTTTTTCTCTTTAAAATAAAAAAAAAACAAAGAAAAAAAGCAGACAAATGGAAGATGTAAAGTCCCTAGGAGGATGGGGAGACTAGCTTGTCATCCAGTGGTGTCAGAGAGGCTTTGTATTTGAATAAAGCTCTTATCGAATAAGTTAAAGGAGAAATCACAAAGGAAGTTAGAAAATGAATTAAAGGAAAAGCACAACATAGCAAAACTTTTGGGATATAGTCAAAACAGTGCTTTAAATTCTTACGTTAAAGCATAGAAGTCTCAAATCAATAACCTAACTTTATACCTCAAGAAATTACAAAAGATGAGCTAGAAGAAGGAAGGAAATAGAAAGATTAGAACAAAGATAAATGGAATAGAGAATAGAAAAACAATGCAATGAATCAACGAAACTAGAAAGTTTTCTAAAGATGAAGACAAGTTATAAAGATAGCCTAAGGAGAATGAAACGTGGTGCAAATAGTGACAATCAAAAGTAGAAACATTTGTACTAAATAAAAAGCATTGTAAGATAGTATAATGAACAGTTATATGCCAAGAAATTAGATAATAATATGAGCAAGTTACTAGAAACATGAAAATTACCACCTCAAAAATTTGAGCAAACATTTAATAATTAGTAATCAGAAGCCTCCTAATAAAGAAATAAAGAAAAATGTGGATGAGTGGCTTCCCTCATTGAATTTTACCAAGCATATAAACAAGAATTAACATCAGTCCCTTTTCACTGTTTCAGAGGATTGGTGAGGAGAGAACACTTGATTCACTCTGTGAGGCCGAACCTAGATAGAGACAGTATAGACAAATAGCCTTACATCAGAAGTTCTCAACAAAATAGTAGGAAACCATATCCAACAGCACATTAAAAATATTGTATATACTATGATCAAGTGGAATTTACTCCAGGAATGCATCCTTGGGTCAACATAAAAATGACAGGATAAGCCGGGCGTGGTGAGGTGGGAGGATTGTTGTGAGTTCAAGACCAGCCTGACTATAAAGTGAGCTCAAGGCCAGCCTGAACTGCATAGGGAGACCCTTTCTCAAAAAAGACAAAAAAAAAAAAAAAAAAAAAAGGACAGGATAGCAAACGTGAGGTCCTGAGTTTGATTCTTGATACCAAAACACAAAACACACACACGCACACACACACATGCACACACACACACACACGATAGATAACCGTCCCCCTAATTTCTATTAGTTCAAACTGTCCTCTAATCTCTATTAGTGTCAAAAAGAATAGTTTATGCTTTTGTTGTTTGATTGCTTGATCTTTTTTTTTTTTTTTTTTTTTTTGTCTTTTTCATTTTTATCGGTACCAGGGATCGAACTTACAACGACTGCCTGCTTGTAAGGCAGGCGCTTATGCCGCTGAGCTAAATCCCCAGCCCCATCTTTTTCTTTTTTATCGAACTCACGACTGCCTGCTTGCAAGGCAGGCGCTTATGCTGCTGAGCTAAATCCCAGCCATGCTTGATCATTTTTTTATGCCTAAGTTTTATAACCTGAACAACTACTTCTAAAATAACAGTATACAATATGTTACCTAGTATTAATTTCCTATTCTTGTTTTTTGAAATTCTCTATCGTTTTTATCCTTTTTTCTGTTTTGCTTTTAAAAAAACAAAAAAGACAGGGTATGTCATTATACTTGTTCTGTGTCAGTTCAGCTAAGATACTTGGATTTTAGGTCAAGAAGTTTATAAAGATATTTTTAAAAGATGCCTTCCTAAATGTACTTTTTAAATTTTTAAATCTTACGTACCTTACATATAAAATCTTTTGAAAGAGAGTGAAATGGCTTTATATTTTTAAAAAGTATTTATTTCCTGTTCAGAATATTGTAACAATTTTTGTCATCTGAAGAAATAAATTAGTACAAAGCAATTTTATGCTATTATGGTTAAAGTATGAAGTCTTAGTGTAGGTAAAGTATGAAGTACAAATTCTGTATTAATTTTCTGTTAGTTTGGCTGGATAGCTGCAGAAGGCTAATTTTCTTTTTCTTTAATTCATTTTTAAATCTTCCTTTCATTTTTTGTGTTAGGTGGAATCCAAGTGGTGTATCAACTCAGTCATGATATTGATGCTGTTCGTTTCCAAACACTAATAGAATGTTTCACCAGCACTTTTGAAGAAGTGAAAACCTTAGCATTTGATCTGCTCATGAAGTTATCAGTAACAGCTATACAATTTCAGGTACTTGGACTTTTCCTGTGTAAATGTAATATACCCAGGTAAACTGTCTATTTTAGCATATATGAATAAAACACTTGAGGATTATCTAGGCTCTTTGCACCTGCCTTCTTGGGCCTTTTAACTGTTTCTTTTGGTTAGTTATGCATTTGCACTGCTGTAGTATGGTAGGAAAGGAAGAAATACCATAAAAGTTCAAATCAGTGAGCTGTGCCTTTTTATTGCTTTGACAAAAAGGGAAGTGTAGGAGGGAGTAGATCTTATTGTTTACCATATTATTAGTAGATTGCAGTGGTCTGTGGTCTTCTCAGTTCCTTTGGGCATGTAATATTCGATCAAAACACATCACTTACAGTAATTTTGAGTTTTTAGAGATAATCTTCCTGCTTGTTAGACTGGGAACCTGAGTGTAAATGAGGTAAAGAACATGTTTCTGGTCTTACTGTGAGCAGTAGCTAAACTGAGACTGAAACTTAAGAATATATGAGGTTGACAACAGTTGTCAGATGCTCTGCCCAGATTCTGCCCTGAAACCTGCCTTCTTTCTGGCATCTTACTTTTCCCACTTCGGGGTAGGAGCTAAAGATGGGCTCAGGAATTGAAGGCACAGTGTGGGTTGGGTCTGCAGGGGACCTTCTGTACAGGCTCTCAGCCCTGTCCTTAAGGTTTGGTCTGGTGTTAGCAGCAGAGTAGTGGCTTCAGGTATTTCTATTGTTTTCTGTTATTTGAGCTCTCCAGAGGTCAGGGGTACCTGCAGATGTTCAGGTATGGTCTGGATGCCAGCTTTTGTGTGTATTTAAGGCACGACTGCTTTCAGGCATCCTCTGATTCTCTAGGAGACCATGCCAGAGAAGAAACACAGTGTCTTTCTGTGCCTTCTTTGGCTTTGCAAGATCTCAGGGTGTCTTTTTTTGATTTGTACTCAAATTGAGAATTGTTCTCCAGGGTCCACTGATGCTTATGGTCTTCCTGGTATCCTGTAAGGAGAAGGTTCTTCAATTACTCCGTGTGCCAAATCTTGTACTTTACAGAATTTGAAAGAAGAAACTTTCTTGTCCTCTATTTGCAACACTCACACCTCCACTGTTCATCACAGATAGCCTTGTATCACATATATAGCTATGCCTCATTGCTGGCAAATGTTCTAAAGAGTATCTGGAATGGAGCAGGTATATTCCAGCATGTATGTGAAAGATCTGATTCTTACATAAACTGTGAAGGGTTCTTACGGGGTCTGCATCTTCAATTTGATTATTTGTTTGATACAGAGATGCTAAACTATAGAATGTAGGAAATTTTAGTTCCACACGGGATGTGCTATAGGTTACACAGTTTGTTCTGGCCTGTATATCAATAAAATAATAATTGGAATAGACATTCAAGATTAAAAAATACTAATTATATATTTCAAAAATCTTTCTTTGGATATACCTTCTCTAATATGTAATTTTTAAAAATAAAGTTAACATTCACACTTTGAATGCCTGGTTACTGTTAAGTAGCCTTTTATAATAACATTTTTGATAGTATATCTTTCTAATATATGATGTTACCACTCACCTAGTTTACTGCTTTTTTTTCTACATATCCTAGGTATTTATGTTGTGTTTTTTGGTTGATCTAAGATGGCGCAATAAAAATATTTTAGGCTTTAAGGGTTATGTATTATGTTTCTTACTAATTGGTTAGCCAATTCAAGGATATACTGTCAGTTGCAAAAATGATTTAGTAGCTTAATATGTTCCTTTTAATATTTGTTTTGAGTTTTGGCTACTATTTTTAAGTTTTTCAGTCACAGAAAATTAACCACATAAAATGATAAAGAATTTACCAATATTTAAATCAGTACATTTATTATCTATTATTTTGAAATTATAAGGTATTATTTGATACTAGTATACATATATTCAAAATTAAGTTTATAATGACTTTTCTTATATTAGATAGTTACGCTCTTACCCTAGTAGACAATATTATTGAGCAACACAATCTTCATTTCTAGAGTGGTAACACTAGCTTGTTGTGTGGGGACTGGGAACCATGTCTCTTGCTGTCTGGCTAGTCCCTTCCTGTGACTATGGTAGTGGATTCTGACAGTGAGCAGCCCTTTGTTCTGTCTTTGTTAGGACAGTCATAGTGACTTTTCTTGTAAAGGAGGAAAGGTTTATTTGGCTCACAGTTTGTAGAGGTTTCAGTTCATAGTCAGCTGGCTCCAAGGCAGGGTGGCATGGCAGAGGGGCATTGCAGAGGAGAAATAATCCATGGCATGGCAAGCAGAAAATAGTGAGCAACAGCAGCAGCAGCAGCAAGCCTACTTGCTTTTCTATAAGCCTGTGTTTCGGTGTCACCCATACGCAGGGTGGGGCTTCCATTATCCACACCTTTAATCTCAGTATTATACCCCCAATCCACATTCGCATACCCTAAATTCAGCCACCTCTAAAAAGCAAGACAGGACTGCATGAAATTTTGAGTGGAGGGGATTGGGACATTGAAATACAAGTCATAACAATCAATGCGAGTGAATATTTATATAACTGTGAGAGCTCGGGTGCTGAATTGCAGAGGTGGATCTGGTCACTTTGTTTTCTGCACATATACATACAATTTCATCTTGTATAGCCTCCCAGTGACTTTGTATTTTTCCCCATTGAACTAGTTTTTTGGAAAGGAGAAGAGAATAGAAGGGCAGGAGTATGATGCCCAGGTAATATATAAACTACAAGAGAAAAATACTACTCTTTATATAAAGATAACAAAGTTGGTTTGGTTGTAGACATTACAAATTTCTACAGGAAAAAGTATGCTGTTGGCGAAGAAAAAGGTACTGTATTTAAAAAATGGCTCCATCAATATTGAATTTCTTAAATTATTATCAAGGGCTTCATCTCTGAATTGATTAAAAATAATCATTCCTGAAATAAAAACTAAAGGCTGGGTATGGTGCTGCACCTATAGACACATCCCAACCATTTTGGGGGCTGTGGCAGGATGATCACAAGTTTACAGCCAGTATGGGCAACATAGTGAAATCTTGCTTAATTAATTACTTAAATAAATACTAAATTCAGGGAGAAAAGAGATTTATGTTCATACTGAGAATTGCACGCTGTGTTTTTAAATAGGTAGTATTCCTGCACATTAGAGAAATGTCACTGTGACAGTTACTGGGACTGTGTGTTCTATTCTAGGATGCTGAGAAACTGCGAGGTTTATTCCAGGCAGCTCTGGAGCTCAGCACGAGCACAAAACCGTATGACTGTGTAACAGCTTCCTACATGCTGAACTTCTTGGTCTGGCAGGATGCTGTGCCTTCCTCCCTGTCTACCTACTTAACCCAGGGTGCTGCCCGCAGCGATGGGGACAAGCCTGCTGCTGTGGTGGAAAGGAACACACTAATGGGTTTGTATTGAGGAAATGACCTTTTGCTCTTATTTATCAAAAACCAATCTCCTGTTTTCTCACTATTTATTTGGTATCTAATAGTTAAACATTTATTTTGTGGTTTTTTTTTTTTTTAATTTAAGAGTTTACAAGCCTGTAAGAGCATCGTGAGGTTCTTGTACACCAGTAAACTTTACTCAGCAGTAACAGTTGCTTCTAAATAGAGGATTTATGTTAAATAAGTAGATTCACAAATACACATTAATAAAACATTTTTAAAAGAGGACAACTCTTTTTCTCCATCAAAATGAACTTTTTCCCCTGCATAAATTGTGCTAAAGCTATAGATAAATCACTTTTGCTACTTTTATATAGAGCTGAGTTCATTTGTCTGTTGGAGTTTATGTCTTAATTGACTAGTCACTTCCTTTGCTTTCACACTACCATATTGCCAGTTCCCAAATCTAGGGTTTGAGACATTTTAGCTAGTGATTTTCTATAAATATTTGTTGGAGATGTATGTACCTGCTTTTATGCCAGTAAATCTTCATTTTGGAATTATACTGGATGTCAGGACATATGCAGATTTTTATAGTAAAAGAAGGTCAGATACAGAAAATTAGTTGCAAATTATTCTTTCTAATACGGTATAAAATCTTGCCAAAGAGAATCAGTAGTTGGAAAAAAGCATATGACCATATGTATTCTGATGGGAGTGTGACTGGATCTGGAGATGCAGAGATGACAGCAGCATAGAGGGTGACACTTGGACCTTGAGTTGCTTTAGGCCTGGAGTCAGAAGGAGACTTGGGAAGACAACAGGAAAAAGCTGCAGCTGGCCTGAACTGGGACATGCTTGCTTCACAGAAAGGCTTTCAGTTCAAAACATTTAGCTGGGAAAGATTTCATACATATGAAGAGTTCTTTGATAAATAAGGTTAAATAGCAATAGTAGAAATCTTCAAGTTTTGTACACAAAGTAGGTGATAAATAAACTCGGCTTAAGAGGTAGAAGGAAGGCTGATAGTAGAATATGTGCTTAGCAGGCACAAAACCCTGGATTCCATCCCCAGCACTTAAAAAAAAAGATTAATAACCGGTCGTGTGTGTCTGCTGTTTGAGAGACTGAGGCAGGAGGATTACTTGAGTCCAGGAGTTCAAGGCTAGCTCAAGCTGCATAGCGACACCCTGCCTCTAAAACAAAAAAGTACCCCTATCTTTGAGTACTCTCATTTGTACTATCCTGTGCTTTGTATTTAACCCTTCATCTTGTTTTTATTTATAGTTTTACCAACTGCATATGTGATTAAACAATGTATTATTTAGTTTTACATAATTTTGAGTTTTATGTAAATAGAACTGTATATAATATGCCAGGTTTGTAATTTATTCTGTTGATAGGCTTGTTTTTTTTAAAGTAAGAAATGTGAATGAGAGCATTGTCTTACAGATCTGCTAATGTGTTATGTAAGAGTTTGTGATGACCAAACAAGAGTTTTTGGTGGTCAAGTGTGCCTGTCTTTAGTTTTATGAGTTGATACTAAATAAGTTTTCACAGAATATTGCTGCCAACAGCTTAAAAGTTGTGTCATATTTGCAGAATATAAAGTGATAGTGTGGCTTCAGTTTGTAGTTTTCTATAATTTGTTCACATTTCCTTGTGATGAAATGTGTGTTGATGTCCTTTGTTCAGTATTCTGTAATTGTTTGTTTTTCTCCTGTTGATTTTAAGGAGATTTATGCATTCCTCAGTTAATGATTTACTGGTTATACACAAATCTGAAATTCAAAGTAGAGCCTTTTCCTTCAGAGGGGTGAGAAGGGGCATCTTCTATATTTGGCTAACTGGGTATCCCCATGCTAAAAAATTAAATTGGATCTGCTGCCTCATATCACAGATAAAAATTAGCCCAAAATGAATTGCAGATCTAAATGGAAAGGCTAATGATATAAAACTCTTAGAAAAAAACGTGCCTTCAATGTTCATGACCTTGGGTTAAGCAGTACTGTATTTTCTTAGGTCTGACTTCCAAAGCACAAACAGCAAAACAAAAATATAAGTTGAACGTGATGAAAATGTATAGCTTTTGTCCAATTAAGGATGCCATCAAGAAAACAAAAAGAGAACCTATAGGATGGCACACTTATAGAAGGAAATTTTTACAACTTAGTAATAAAAAGACATAACCAGTTAAAAAATAAATACTGAATAGATTTTCTTCAATAGAAGATACATAGAGTAAATGCATGAAAAGTTGCCCAATATTGTTAGTCTTTAGGGAAGTACAAATCAGAATCATATTGATAATGATGAAACACTTCATGTGCAGTAGAATGACTGTAATTAAAAAGAAAACAGAAATATGATTACAAATGTTGATGATAATGTGAAGAAAATGAAACCTTCATGCACTGTAGGGGTAGGGATACATTCAGTCCCTAACAGGTTTATACCCAGAGAAAAGAAAGCATATGCCTAAACACAAGCTTGAGCAAGAAAGTTTAAGGCAGTATTATTCAGAATAGGTGAAAACTAGAAACCACATATCCATCAGCAGATGAACAAATGAATAAAAATGTGATGTGTTCATTCAGTTGACTGTTACTGAGCTGTGGAAAGAATCACCTATTGACAGATGCTGCAACACTGATGCACTTTGAAAATACAGTGGTACCTTGGTTGGCCAATACTTTTGTTTGCAAACAATTTGATTTGCAAATAAAAATATTTACAAAATTTTGTTTTTGTTTGTCAACTCTGCATCAAGTGATGAACATGACTGTGGCCATCTTTTCCACACAGACACAAATGTGGCCATGTTTTCCAAAATCGTAGAACAAGTTAAATTCTTGAATTGAGGTACCACTGTATTATGCTCAGTGAAAGTATCCAAACACAAAAGACCTTGTACGATATAATTCCATTTATATGATATGTTCAGAATAAGCAAATCTGTAGAGAAAATAATCAGATTAGTAGTTTGCTAGGATTTAAGAAGTTCAGGTGGAGAGTGACTTCTAATAGGTAAATGCTATTTTATAGGGGCTGTGTTCTAAAATTGTGGTGATGTTTGCATGTAGCTCTGAATATACTAAAACTCATTGACTTGTGCACTTTATTTTTTTATTTTATGAAAAAATAAAATTTTCATAATTATAGAATAACGATTACCCTGTGTATTGTTATCTTCATTGTACACTTTAAATGTGTGAATTGTGTGGCGAGTTGTATCTCACTTTAGCCAAAAATCATCTTTTGGCCAAATAACATATAACATATAATAACACAGGTCTGAAGTTTGATGCTGCGGCTAGAGGACGTGCAGGAGGACCGGTTCAGAGTGAATGTTATGTTAGTTAAGGGAAGACACTCAGTTCTTTAACTGCTGTCTTTAAAATGAGTTAATGGTCTGGGTGACCTTGAAAACTCTCCTTCTGATTCAAAACCTCATGAAATTCATTGGAATTGGGTGTTTTTTTGGGAAATTTTACAATTGGCACTATTTCAGTTTTCTGTTTGCTTTTTCTAGTTATCAAGTGCTTGATAGAAAATCTTGAGGAAGATGTGTCTCGCGCTGAAAAGTCTCTGCTTCAGGCAGCAGCATCCTTCCCAATGTACGGGCGTGTCCACTGTGTGACAGGAGCTCTGCAGAAGTTGCCACTAGAGTAAGAGCACCCCGCTGTCTCAGATGTATCCGCGTGTCTAAGCTTTAATCCTTGACGGCAGTGTATCCTAGGAAAGGAATGTTGTCTTGCCTTGAAGAGAATTGAGAACTAGTTTTAAGATCTTACATAGTTATTTGTGTATCTGAAATACTTAATATTTTGGACTTTTGTAAAACAAATTCTTTCAAGTACTCTCTTGCATGTAGTGTAAGGTCCCTAATGTCCTTACTGCAGCCGCCTGCAGTTGGTGAGCGAGTGGACACCTGTGGTGGAGAAGCTCCTGTTGCTGTCCTATAGGATTTCGGCTGTGGTGGCTCCTGTCATTCAAAGTTCCTCCCCCGAGGGCCTCATCCCCATGGACACAGACTCAGGTCAGCAGACCAAGAAGCCTGTGATGCTGTTTTTGGTTATCTCTGTCTGTCATTTCTTTGGAGAGATATAAAAGCTAAATTGAAGGGAAAACAGAATTATATTTTGTGATATTTTTGTCCTTTTGGTAATGTTTTTAATTACTAAAAATAGCCAGTTCAGTTGTTTACTATCTTTTGCTTAAGAATAAAGAGTTTTAATTGTGTATTTCCAAAAAAAAAAGTAGCCAAAAAATTGACCTGAGAACCAGGTAATGAACAAGGTATTATCCTTCCCAGGGTACAATGGGTTTTATAGTAGTAGGAGTGTGTAGGGGACAAAGGTCATTTGAAATGCCAAAACGTTTAATGAAAGAAAAATAAAATGAGAAGAGATCCTTCTCTTGTCCCAAATTGAGCTCATGAACCATTGTCTGCTTTTTTCCTCTTAACCCGTCTCCTTGTACATGTTCTTATTCATGTACTGTCATTTCTGTCCTTTAGAGTCAGCAAGCCGCTTACAAGTAATTCTCAACGAGATTCAACCACGAGATACTAATGATTATTTCAACCAAGCCAAAATCCTAAAAGAATGTGATAGCTTTGATTTGGAGGACTTGAATACCAGTGTGTCAAATATTAATACTTTTACAGATATCAAAGGTAACATGTATAGAATTAATACTACAATCCTTTTTTTTTCCAGGGGTGAGTCTAGAGCCCAGGACCTTGAGTATGCTAGGCCAGCACTCTACTGTTTAGCTACAGCCCTAGTCCCAAGTGTTTAAAATCAGTAAAATACATAGAATGACCTTTCACATAATAAATGAGAGGCTTGCACATCTGTACAAAACATTTCTAGAAAATAAAGTTTTTTATTTTTATATATTTGATTTTGGAAATGACTTGGTTTTAGGACTGAATTTATAATAAAGCTTCAGCCAGATGATGGTAGGCCCTAATTCACCATATAAGGTGTTAAAACAAAAAGCCTTTTGAGAGCTTAAACATGCGTTGACAACCATGATTCAAGGTTTGAATAGCAATTGTCCTCTTGCTGTGGTGTGGCTCATTGTTGTTGGGGTTTTTTTGATATTGGGAATTGAACTCAGGAGCTTGTGCTTGCCAGGCAGGGGCTGTGCCACTGAGCTATACCCCGGCCTATGAATCGTTTTGACCTCTGTGGCCACTCCTAAAGTCAGGCAACCTTTTAAAGAGAGCAAACTTTGTCATTCAGCAAAAGATGAGCTACTTTGTTGAACCTAGTCTCCAGAATTTATATCCCTAATTCTGTTCTATTATTAACTGTTATTCTTGAATTTTCTGCAGTATTGTAAAAAGGTACAACCAAAAGCAGGGATATTTTAGTGATTATGTATTCTATGTTCTCCACTAGATGGGGATATTGTCCTGCAAAAAATTGTCTTTGCAGTTGTATTTTTTAGTTACAAAAAAACTCATAGAAATATGTTTATTAAAATAATGAGTCAAACAACATATAGGTAAAATATATTTAAAAAGAAAGTTTGTCTTCTACTTCTTCCTCAATTCCATTGCTTCCTTCTCAGGTGTATTCCTTTATACTTATCCTGTGTTATGTATTTATGCATGAGTATGTTTATCCTTTTAGTTTAGTGGGCTTTTAAAAAAAAATTGGGTCACAGGGGCCAGGGATATGGCTCAGCCACACAGTGCCTGCCTGGCAAGTACAAGGTACTGAGTTCAATTTCTGGTACCAAAAGAAAAAAAATTGGATTAGTGTAAATATTATTTCATTAATATTTTAAAATTGAAGTTTGTTTTGCATTTTTTATGTCAGTGCTAAACTATTTCTAAAACCAGAATAAAAGGTAAATAAGAGTAATTGTGGCTTATTGACTCTCAGATTTACGTATATTTGAAAAGAAAATTTATGTTTTCCTTTGATTTTAAAAGGTCTGTCTTGTACTTTAACAGCTATCTTCATCAAAATAAATGGGAAGTATATTTTGTACAGTTCTCTCTGTAATACTTTATGAATGACAAAGGCATAAGGAGTTTGTTTTATTAAATTTTGAAGCAGTATTATGCTTTATTTTAAAATTTATTTTGAAAATAATAAATTGAAAAATAGCATGATTCCTCCTAAAAGCACATGCTTGACAGATGTTAACTTTCTTTCCTCCTGAACAAATAGAACATATGACAAATTGGTTTGTTCAAGCAGATTATTCTTAAGGAAATTATGAATAAGCTTGTTCTAAGAAACCTGGAATATGAATAATCAAGAGTATTTAATGTTGTATTTTTTTTTTTAAGGTAAAGAAGGAAAAACATGTGATGTCACTGCTCAAATGGTACTGGTGTGTTGCTGGAGAAGCATGAAGGAAGTTGCTTTACTTTTGGGCACACTGTGCCAGCTTCTACCCATGAGGCCTGTGCCAGAATCATCTGATGGATTAGTAACAGTGGAGCAGGTAATGTAGATGTTTATTCCATCAAGTATAATTTCTGGTCAAGGCATAAATCTCAAGTTTTTATTTATGGCCTAGCTTTTAAAAAGTTCTGAGGTTTTCATGAATAAAAGTTTGTAGATGTCAACTGAAAAATATTCATGAGATTTAGGACTTTAGATCTTGCAGAGCATTAAGAACTGGTATTTTTAGAAATATTTTTATGTAAATAATGACTTTATTTTTAATTCTAATAATATTTTAATTTCTATTTCTTCATTTAACATATGAATTTAAATTTATTTAGTAAAACTAACAAATTTATTAAGTTTTATAAAACAAAAGAAATAACATTGGTTGATTGTGGGTCTCATGTTTGCCCACTACCTTTTTTTTTGTCTTTTTGAGACAGAGTCTTGCTGTGCAGTTCAGGCTGACCTTGAACTCACTTTGTAGCCCATGCTGACCTTGAACTTGCAGCAGTCCTCTTGCCTCAGCCTCCAAAGTGCTGGGATTGTAGGCATGTGCTACTATGCCCAGCTCCCTACTACTTTGATAATAAAGTTGTAGTCACTTTGGTCTTTTTGGCTAAGTTTTTTTTTTTAAGACCACAAAGTTAGGTCATCATCTGGGACTGTTTTTGGGACTCAAGCAGTGTTTACAAGAAATTAGCTTACCACAAGCATTTCATTTGGAAATATTTTAGATTTATTAGATTTCTGTTTTCTAATTGATTCCCTTTTCCTTTCCATATGGTTTGAACAAATCTGTTTCCCACAGTTTTCTAGCAAAGATGTGTAATGTGTACTTTCATTTTTAACCTTTTTCAAATAAAGATAATTTTTCCCCCATGACGTTACAGCATTCAAGAGTAAAACAAATATTGTGGTATGCAAATGCTGATTCTTCCTATAATAACCATGTGACTAGTTCCATGGAAATAATAATATTTTTATTCTCACACGCTGAAGCTCATATGCTTGCATCTGGTTAACAGCTGGGCTTGCGTTATTGCAGGGCTGGGAAAGGAGAAGGGCGAGGGCGAACAGGACAGCATGGACATCATTATGTTCTTTATTCTCTTCCAAGTCAGACAGGCGTTAGTGTCCTCGAGTTACTTTTGGAGTCAGTGCTGGTGACTGACCATAGGCCAATGCCAACATCTTTGCTCAGGGATTCAGTCACGATTAGTGATTATTCCATTGATGTCCACCATCTTGCCATGAAGTAAACATGTGCTAGAGTTCCTGGACTTCTCAGTTTCTTTTTCCAAGGACAAGTTTAAAGTATCTAATTTTTGGGTTTGTTTGATTGTACTTAAAAACAAATTAAAGAAAACATATTTTGCTTTTACTGTAATGGAGAAAGACCTGAAAACTGCTTATGAAAGCTGTTTTGCATTGACACTTTTCATAGCATCCAAGGTTTAGGATTTTATGAGTTTAATTTATGTGGGATAACTATGAAGAGATGTTTGTAAAAAATATAGCACTAACAAAAGATATTTTGTTGTTGCTTTTGTTCGAATTCAGGTGCACTTGCTAAGCAGGTGCTTGTGCCACTCAGCTAAACCCCTGGCCCAGCAAAAGATATTTTTACTACTTTTTAAACTAAGTAATTGTTAGGGGCTGGGGATTTAGCTCAGTGGCATAAGCATCTGCCTGGCAAGCGCAAGGTCACGAGTTTGACCACCAATATTCCCACAAAACAAAAACAAAAACAAAAAATGTAAACTAAGTAATTCTTGCAATGGCTGTTTGCTTCCATAGTAAGAGAACACTATTTTTGTGAAATCCTAGTTTGTATTTTAATGAGCTATAGTCATTTTTCAATGCACGGTTCACATGGTAACCTCACACACTTAAGTGTAAAAAGAAAGTCATGACTGAATGAGGGCTCAAAAATATATGTGATAGTTGTGTTCTAACATTGAAAGCCTACTCTCTATGGGAAGCTTTACTCTTGATTTTAACTGAGTTTAAAGAAATACCTCAGTGTAGGAACTAAAATTTACTCCATGAAAACCCAGTCATCGAGAGCTCAGTGTTACTTGTGTTATTACAGGATTTCTGCTTTAAACATAAAGCTTTGCTTCTTTGAATTAAAAATACTTCCATTATCACATGCTTAACACTTATAAGAGTTAAATGTATAAATGACCTAGAAGAATGTAATTGACGTTGGAATGACAAGGCCACATCTAAGTACACCTTCCTTGCCAGGCACAGTTGCCCTGACAAAATTAGATCTGCTATGCCTGGTGACAAAAGGACCAATTTGAGAGTCAGTATCTTTCATGAGCATGACTGCAGTGGACCTGGAGACTCTGAGGCAGTGAGGTGATTTATAGCCTGAATTGTACCGCAGTTATTGTGGGAAATATGACAGTTGGATTTCATATTCCCTACAGTAGTAACTGTGAACTACTTTTATATTAATGGCTGTTCATATAGTACAAAATCCTGATTTTGAGCCTGATTCTTTTCTGTATTCATCCTGCACATTTGAAAAAGTAATAATATTCTATTATAATTTGAAATTTGATGCGTTGAGTATAGAAAACAGGGAAGTTTTCTTTTTGTAGCTTAGTAGCATCCTGGTTTCATGGGCGTTTGTTAAATGGGGAGCCACTTAAGTCCCATATACATGAGTGTAGTTTATAACAAACTGATGAGAAGTGAGATTACAATTTGGGGATTTTTGTTGCTGTATTGAGAGAAGAATGAGTGCTTGTTTATAATTCCAAGTTTTCAGTACTGTGCTCCCAAACTGTTAAGAGCTGGAAAGGTCATGGATGGTATTCTACTTTGGACAAGAGAAGGCTGAAGCCCCTGCTGTTACTTGGTTTTCCCAGGATCACAAAGATGGTTTGTGGCAGCTCTGGAACGATTCCTTTCCTGGCCAGCCTGTATTCACATGGCAGAGTGCTGCCTTTGTTCTGAGCTGCTAATTACATTTGTCTTTATGATGAATTTTCTTTATTTCCAGTACCCCAGCAAAATTTTGCAAACAACAAGACAGTAAGACAACTTGCTACTGAACCTTTAAATAAGTGATCCTTTCCTTAGATCACTTCTTGTGAAGCAGGCTGTGCTCACTGGCTTCTGCAAGAGGAAAGTATGTTCATTCAGTGGCTCCTCTGACTTTCCTCTCTGCACTGTAATCACGTAATGAAAGGTTCTTTCATGATGTCCTTATAAAGAGGCAGAGATAAAACCAGTTTTGAGGGTTGTAAGCGGAGACTCCAAGAGTGAGTTAGCTACGTGTGCACCCTTATCACACGGCTTCCTTACTAGTTGTTGTGTGTCTACGTTTCAAGCTTCATATTTTGGTGATACAGACTTTTGCTTGATACATTTCGTTGGTCTTCTTTTCATGGGATATCTGATACCCAACGCTTGCTGATTTTTAAAAAACAAATTCTTCTACCTGGAGCACTAATTCATGCTTACGTATATCCTCTATTATTCGTAAATAGAAGCTTTTGGCTAAGTTTTTCATATCTACTTTCCTCTTCCTAGTAATTATTGTCACAGAAATCACATGAATAAAAATAATTACCATCTATTAGAAAATGTCTGCTTTTGAGTCTGTTGTAACTTGTATGATATACACAGTTAGCTGGGCTGATATATTCTCTGTGTCTTTCATTACTGGTTTAGATTCTTTTGTAATGGAATATAAAAGGAATATACATTCCTGAATCTTAAAGAAATTGCCTTTTGTATTTTTGCCTGTGTAATTTTTAAAAGTTATAAAAATGCATTGAATTAATCACCTATTTATTCACTATGGGAACATAAAATTAATATGTTGTTCTCTGATCTCAAAGAACTTAAAAATATATTAGGGGAAACAAGACAGATTCATTTTATAACTCAGGCAGGCAACAGTTAAAATCGCTCATAGCTCATAATTTGCTGGAAAGTAAGGAATAAGCATTCTGGTAAGATGCGGTTCAAATACCAGAAAACTGTTATCTTTGTTGTTATTATCTGAGGCAGCAGTAGTGAACCTATGGCACGTGCGTTACTGTATTTTTGTTTTAAGACAAAAGATGTGAATGTGTGAGTTGTTTTTTCTAGACTAAAACCTCAGTACTCAGGTTTAGTTGCAGTGTTGGCATTTTGTGATAAATAAGTGGGTTTTCGGGTGCAGTTTGTGCACTCAGCCTCTCATAGGGTTGCCATTCCTAATCTAGGAGAACAGCTTCAGGCTTTGAAGAAATCTCAGATGGGTAATAAGAAGTCACTATATAGAGAGAATTATGTTTAAAGCATTTCTTACTGTGGGGTAAACTTTTGTGTGTGTGGTACGGGAGATCAAACCCCTGTGCTCTTATCACAGAGATACATCTTTAGGCTCTTTTACTTATTTCTTTTTTTAAGACAAGGTGTCTCTTAAGTTGGCCAAGTGGTGCTTGAACTTGTGATTTTCCTGCCTCAGTCTTTCAAAGTGCTGGAGTACAAATGTACACTGCCATGGCCTGCTAAAAGATCCCATTTAACTGAAATAGAGACTCCTGGCTTTTGATATTCCCTGAGTCTTAAAAACCATCTTTGTCTTAAAAGTCAGAATTTAAATTAAGGCTTAGGGATTAAGTCTTACTATTTTACAATACAAAGTAAATCCCAAAATGGACATTTATTGATTGCTATTCCATGCCGGTTACTCTAGTAAATAATTATGTACATAATCTCATTTATTCCTCGTGATACTCCTGTGAAGTAAGTTCTAGTTTAAACCTCCTTTCACAGGTGAGAGAACTGTTGCTTGTGTAGCCTGTAACACTACGGTGGTTAAGTCAAATTCTGGAGGTAGCCTCCTGGCTCCAGAGTCCCAGATGTTAACTATAGCACATGCCCTTTATAAAAATGTCTGCATTTAAATCCTCTTGGGTTTATGTAGTTTATGAGTGGAATTAGCTTTGATTTATCTACTCTACTGGATAGGTAAAAGGTAAATTTTAAAAAGTATATTTGCATTTGTCCTTTGTTGGCTTTATGTTTTACATGAGTATTTAGCTCTCTTAATTTGTCTGGTGATTAATTTAGCTCCGCAAATTTATACCTTGTAAGTCCTTAAAGCATGTTAATTTGATAATAGAAGTAAGTTTTACAAAACGTTAAAGGCAAGATATGGTAACTTGAAAAAGATAGTAATGGATTTAATTTTAAAAATAGAAATCAATGTCAGGTTTTGATTTTGCACTTCTTCCTTAATTTCTTTTTAAAAATCCTGAAATAATGTAATTTATATGTAAAAATATTTTGTAATGACATCTTGCATAAAGGAAAACTTTTGTGAATTTTTACAAATAGGAACTCAGTGATACGTAATGAAAGGCAATTGAGTTGGAGTTTTCAAAGAACCTTTTCATTTAAAATATTAAACTTGAAAATTCTGTTTCTGATTCTATTACTAGTTTTATAAGTGATTTGAGTCACTGCTCGTCACGCACTGGGAGGGTGTCTGCAGGGCCCTGGACAGAGGTCCAGCTGCTCACAGACCACACTGCCCACACTCTGTGCTCATCCCTCCCCTGCACCTCCATCTTTCACCCTGCGCTGGCATGAAGGCTGCAGGTCACTTACCCTAGTCATCCTGCTCTGCTAAACCCAGCTTGTGTACACTGTGTCCTTTCATAGAAAAAGACTCAGCAAAGTGGCTGGCAGATAGCGGTTACTTGGTAGGTGTCTAATACTTCCTTCTAGCCTTGAACCCTTCTCACGCTAATTACCTGCTTCCATTTTGCCCTAACCAAGTGCTGTACATATATGTTGTTCAAGGTTAGGGCATGAAACTTCTTCTAACCCTGCTGCAGAAGAATCTTTATTTTGTGGAACTTGTAGCCTCTGAAAGGAGGCTACATAGCCAGCATGTTGGTTTTCTCTGCTGGTCTAATGGAAAGCCTTCTGAGGGCAGAGTATCCTGTTTTCATTTCCAGTCTCTCCCAGCACTAAGCTGCTGTGTGCTTGGCAGGAGGCCAAACATGAGCTTCTTGTCTGCTTAGCAGTAATTCTACATTCTACGAAGGCAGAACTTAACGATAAGCCTCTTTATTATCAATGTGGGGTTTTTTTGGAGATGGGGTGTGAAATAAAATGTGGAAAAACTGTCTATGCCTCACTGCTGCCCTCTTAGAGTGTCATTCTGATTTCTGAGGCCATGATTACATAGGTCACGTTTTGAGAAGACTAGTCACTGATGACACTTCTGAGGTCTTAAATTTGATTATATGCTTTTTGGTTTATGTTCCTTTAAAAGGAGTTAGGGTAAAGAACACAATGAGAATGCAGTCTCTGCTTAAGAAGGTAGTTGTGAACCATTTTAAGTTCACAGAGAAGTTCTTGGCCGATCACATTTGTTTTTCCAAAGTATGTTTAAACATCTGTAACACTTTGGGAGATAAAATTACCTAAAGATGGAGTATACGGACTTGCAATATTTGTTTCCTTGGACTTGAAATACCTTCTTAGAAACCTTTTATTTTTCTAGTAATAGGTTTTGGTAAGTTAGCTAATTAGCAATTTTTCTGGTCTTGATTTTGTGAGATTTTTGAACTTCTATTTGGAAATAACAATCAGATTTAAGTCTTGATAATTGTGTTCAAAATATGCTCTGGAATTATCATATTGAGGATAAAGTAAGGCTTACTTTGACTGTGACTTTTGACAACTAGTATCATGTTGCCTTTAAAAAATTAAAAGAGGAATATAAAGGCTATGAGGTATCATCAGATTTTAAAGTGTTTTTGTGCTGCTGTTCGGTGGTACTGGTGATCAAACTCGGGGTCTAACACATTAGGCAAACACTGTAGCCCTGAGCTACACTTTCAGCCCTTCTTATTTTTATTTTGAGACAGGGTCTTTTTGATTTGTCTTAACTGTCCTCAAACTTGGGCCCTCTGGCCTTAGCCTACCAAGAAGCTAACATGTTAGAATTTCTAAAAATCCATCATATACTGCTTTTTTTTTTTGGTCTCATATCTGATTCTCTTTGTATGGATCATGGCTTGTTATGTCTTTTAGAACAGATATACTTTGAGGGTGGGTACTTTCCCCCTATTTAGAACCCTAGACAAAGCCCATATTTAATTGAATTAGATTATAGGTTGTGGGCCTGTTCTGAACTTTCTGATTTACTAGCTCATTTTAATATAACAATGTCAGAGGTAGGTATTGTTATTGTACCCAGTTTCTAGATGAGGAAACTGAGACAGTTGCCCAGAGTCACTTATTTCTTCCTCACATTACTTTCCATTTTTGAGGTATGCAAAACATGAATCTATGTATTGTGCTGAGGTGAAAAATGTTTTTAGATAAGCGGATTTGAGATATCTTGGGGCAATTTGCCTTTTCACTATGCTGTGATCTGTGGGTATGTGGTTCAAAAAATAGCTAATGACAGCTCTGGACCAGAGTTTTATACAGAACCTGAAATTTCTGAAGCCAGTAGCCACCAGATCTAAGGATATAAAGCACAATCATAATAACCAGTTTTATAGTTCATGCTTTACAGAATCACAGTCATTACTGTCAATTGTTTTCTTTAAATCGTTGTATTTAAAAATTTGTCTAGGGCCAGTGATATAGCTCAGTGGCACAGCACCTGCCTGGTAAGTGCAAGGTCCTGAGTTTGATTTCTGGTACCAAAAATTTTTTTTGTCCTACCTTACATGGGGGAAAAAAAAATACATTGACAAATAATTGGGTGGCATTCTGATAAATCCCACAGTTCTGACTCAGAATGATGCCTGTTCAACTTCTAGCAGTTCTTTTTTACTAAATTCTCTATTACCATTCATATTAATGTTATCACTGAAAGGTAATTATTGGAAGTTATTGCTTAATGGGTATGGAGTTTCTGTTTGAGAAGGTGAAAACGTTTTGTAGTTGGGTGATGTTGATGGTTGCACAGTAGTGTGAATGCACTTAATACTGCTGAACTCTGTACTTTATAATGGGTAAGCAGAGTGTGGTGACACATGCCTGTGACTCCAGAACTCTAGGAGGCTGAGGCAGGAGGATCACAAGTTCCAGCCCAATCTGAGCAACTTAGCAACATAGCCAAACCCTGTCTCAAAATAAAAACAGTAATAAAAAGGACTAGGAAAGTAGCTCGCGACAAAGTCCTTGAGCGTCTTTGTATGAATTCACTTTATATGCATCCATATCACATATGAAAAGAAGGAAAAAAGAGAAAAGAAAAAGAGAAATTTTGTTATAGGTATTATACCACAATCAGAAAGGAAAAAAATTTTTAAAAAAGAAAATGCAGTTATCGCATCCAGACCCATGCAAGTGTTATTACTTTGTGTGATTTTGTGTTGGTGTTGAGTGACGTGACCGCACACAGTGAGGTGTGTGAATCTGGCGAAGGGAGGCAAGTATCGCACAGTCCTGAAGATGGCAGACCCTGCCTGGGGACTGCTTGGTTCATGTCCAGGACCCACGTTTATGTGTGTGTGACCTTGGGTAAGTTGCTTAACTTTTCTGGGTCCTGGTTTCCTCGTTGTGAGGTAAGTAATAATATTTTATCGTGTTATTGGGGCTATTAACAATGTTTGAAATACTACTTGTCACATTAAGTGCTACATGAATAGGCAGCTAGACGTGAATTCTAAATTACATTACTGGCATAAATACATCCATAAATGTAAAGCTAAATTTAACTTTTTTTTTTTTTTAAGGTAAAAGAAATAGGAGATTACTTTAAACAACACCTTTTACAGTCCAGGCACAGAGGAGCATTTGAACTGGCATATACGGGTTTTGTGAAACTCACCGAAATACTAAACAGGTAAAACAAATACCCTTTTGTGTAGGTTTTCACAAGACTGAATGTACAAACTGTGTGCTTGGAATAGAATTTAGTTGTATCTTTTGATGTTGAAAAGAATAAAGACTTGCTTGGCTACAAAACTCTTGGAAGAAATGGTTTCCTTAAGTTTCATTGTATGATTTACTGCAGCTGATTGAGTGAAATGTCCAAACCATGTTGCTGTCTCATTGAAAGGTGATTTGACGTGAACTCAACAATTTTGCTAAAAATAGCTTTGGAATTACTATTTCTTTTCATTGAATGAAATGAATGTTTTGTCTGTTTGAAAATTACTTGGCATTTAAAGTAGAATGAACCCTGGAGTTTTTTGATTTCTATATATTGCACAGAAAAACATTTAAGGATTTTATTTGTTTCGTTGTAATTTTATAGAAAAAAAAATAGCAACAAGTAGACCAAAAAGTATAAAAGACACCATCCCACACATACACCCTGGAAACATACTTAGGCAAATCTTATTATATTTAACCAAATTGTATTTTTTCACATTACATGTGTTAATAATTTCATTCATTTATATTTTAAGTTTCTTCTAAAGAGCTTGTGAGGAAACCTTAAATTAGGTAATGACTAAGTATTCATGGCAAGTATTCTCTAAATAAAAGGTAGTATTTTCCAGGAAAACATTTCTGTTGCCTGGAAACTTTTTGAAATGAAGCAGGGTTCTGCCAGCCTGTAGCTTCAGCAAACATTTTATTTTGGGCTGTTCAGACATCTACTTGAATATTTTTGAAACTTTTTCGCCCACTCTTGGTAAAAACATTTATAAAACACCTTGACAGTTATGCACTGCACAGAATATCTCTAAGTGATACTTTTAAAATGCCCCTGACATTAAACTGTAGGTCTTGAAAATATTTTTATCTTTGCAGTTCCTTGATTCCAGCATAGACATGACTTACTGATGTTTTAAAATCAGTCAATCTTTTTATTGATCTACTTATTGTAGTATTGGGGACTGAACTCAGGGCTTTTACACAGAGCTACATCTTCAACCCTTCTTTAATTTTGAGAGTCTCACTGTGTCACTAAATTACCCAGGCTAGCCTGGAACTTGTTATCCTCCTGCTTCAATCTCCCAGAGTGTTGTCACACATCACTATGAATATGTATTCCCCTGCCCTCTTAGGGCAACATACTATGTTCCCTTCCAACGTGGCTAACCCATATGTACTAAATACTATCTGTATGCTTGTTACTGTACTTGTTTGGAGAATGTTATACTTTATAGAACATGATTCCTGTGACCTTATGAATTAGTTTCAGAAATAAGCAGGAATGAATTTCAAAATATTTAATGGAAGTCTGCCATGGACATTAACTGAATACCACAGACACTCAAACACTTGGTACCGCCGTATGTGTGGATGTGTGCTGGTGAAAAGACCATTATACTTCACAAGATGAAAATTCCATATCAGGCTGGTGAGGCATTTAGCTTAGCCCTTCACTAGCGTGCTCTGAGGCCCTGAGTTCCATTCTCAGCACCACCACCAAAAAATCTGCCAAATTGACAAATCCTTTAGCACTAGTAGAGAGAAAAAGCACTAAGGTATGTCTTTGGTGATAGGTCTGCCTGGAGGAGGTATGATTTGGGTTCATAGATGGTAAAGATTTTAATAAGTAGGAGAAACACGAAGGAAATTTCCTAAGTGTCCTGAGGCTAGGATTAGCAAGCCTGGCTTTTTAGGTGAGTAAATAAAACAGCCTCCCTACAGTGCTGCTGGGAGTGGTGTTGAGTTTGTAGGAAATACTGTCCAGTGGAGTAGATTGAGGCCAAGTTGTGGAGTACCTTGAAAGTAGATTTGCTGTAATAAGGACAGACAGAGCCATCGAGTGTTTTTGATCTGAAATAGATTTTAGGGAGCATCAAAAATAGAGGGAAAACAATAAACAATACTCTATGACTCTCATTCTTAGTTCCATTATATTTTTATTGTAATGAGACTGTACAAGTTAATATTCTTAACCTCTGATGCCTTTATCTCTAAAGTAAAGAAAAGAATATTTGCCTTACAGGTTTCTCTGGCTTTTGTCATATAGATCAAATTAAATAGATATTTATGAAGACTCTTGTAGTATAGAATTTCTCACAAATGTAAAGTATGAGATTGGTTTTGGTTGTCAGTCATTTAGGCTAGGTAGATTATAATGATGGATGGCAGTGAGGAGAGCCTGGATTCAGTCACAGCAATCCAGCTCTCAGCTGATGAGGGTTTCCACTATGACAGAGGGTCTGGGGATAGAGATAAAGATGTCACATTTCAGTTAATGTCTGACCTCATGCGGTAACAGCACCACACTTGACATATGGAATGATCAGAAGGAAAGTTGTGGATACATTTATTTCATTTCACTATTGCATGTGTCAGAAATCTCAGGACATGGCTCAGCAAGGTGATGCTTCTCTTTGGAGTGTGATTTGAGTTCAGTTGGTGGCATTCAGTCACCTGGTGAAGTGGCTGAGAGAGACATAGCTCAGCTCTGGCACCGTGGTGAGGACAGCTGAGTGACTAGGACTAGTTGGAACCATATGTGACCTTTTGGTCAGCATGGCAGTCTTAAGGCAGCTATACTTCTCGCATGGCAACAAGTCTGTCAGTGGGAGTAACCTAAGGAAACCAGGTTAAAACTGGTCAAAGCTGGCCCAATTTTGGAGTCTCATAGCATTGCTTGAGTCATGTTGTGTTGGCTGTGAGTCTTGCAGTCAGGCTGGACTCAGTCACTTTTGAGGGTAGAGTGACAAGATCCTGTGATTGAAGTATATGGGGATAGGAAGAGATATTCTGGGGGTTGTCATTGAAAGATCAGTCTGCCATGTGAACCAAATGAATGTGAGGTGATGAGGGAGTCTGCAGTTGCCCTTCTGGTTTTAGGTTCTAGTGATGAGAAGCATGGAATTGATGTTACCGAAGCCAAGAAACATTGGCTTTGTTCCTAAGAAGAGAGTTAGTTGGTATGATAGACATTAGTAAGTTCTTATTATGAGTAAGATGTGCTGAGTATGAGATAGTGATAGCATATCCTGGTGGAAATGTTTTAAGTCAGTGCTTGGAGACAGGACGTTAATTTAGGTGATGTAGCAGAAACAGAGAAGTAGATATATGAGTTGCTTCCATAATCACCATTGTTACTGGAGTAGAAGTCTTTAGAGGAGAGCATAAAAGGAGAAAAAAACAGAGAACCCAAGACAGAGGCCTTTGAAGCACTGTTTAGTGGTACAGTTGAAGATGTGGAAAGCCCAGGCTGGAATCTCCGCAACTGCCGATCTGCTTTAGAGGTCTCCGCACGGCTGTCACTATTGGCTGTTAACCAACCTCTCACAAGGTTTTGGCTGTTTGCTTCCAAATGCAGTGATTCTGGATCCCTTTGGAGTCATTTCAAACCTGCTGAACAGAATGTCTTGCACAGAACATTTTTACAGTGTGTGTGGCTTTTTTTTTTTGTTTGGTTTTTATTTTTAAAAGAAAATTTGTTGCTTTTGGACTCCTTCTGAAAGCTTGTTATAAGGTCTTAAGTTATGAAAAACTTGTTTAGGCATACAGCATTTAAAAAGTTTGCAAAAAAGGATGTTCTTCATGAAAATCCACAGAAATGGATGCCAACTCCTGGCTACCTCCTGAACTGCAGCTGTGTTGAGGAAGGAAGTACTTAAAGAGATAAATGAATAAATAACTGAAGAGTTAAACATGAGCCATATCGTTTAAATTGGTTCTTAAGGATTATTCAAAATATCTTCAAATGTAAACCAGCTCCATTATTAAACAATCATCTGAGGATAAATAAGAATGGGAGACACATTCTAGGAAATCTTTTAAGAGCAGATCTTATGTACACAGTACACACTAACAATATGTTGGGTTAATTTTCTTAAACTGATTTCCTTATTTAGTGATTTCTATTTAGAATTTGATGCAGTGTTTATACTTTCTTGTAAAACATAATTACTGCCTATGCATAACTAGCTGTGTAAGCATTTGATTGGAGTGGTTAAAGTGCACTAAAATTGTAACTTATATTTGATTTTGTTTGTTTGTTTGTTTTTGTTTTCTTGAGACAGGGTCTGGCTATGTAGTTCAGGTTGGCCTAACTCACCATGTAGCCCGGCCTGGCCTTGAACTGGTAGTGATCTCCTGCCTTAGTCTCCTAAGTCATGAGATGGCAGGCATGAGCCACCATACCCAGCTTGCAAGTTTTTGATAAAATATATAACTGCTTCTTTTTTGATCTTTAGAATTAGAGACTTTTCTTTCAGTTGAAATGAACAGAATCCTAAATTAGAGTGTTGTATTGGTGAATTTAGCTTTCGTTTATCCACTCATAGATTAAAAGCTTGCTTATTATGGGACAAAATAGTTGACTACAAAATCTAGACCAGACATTTGTGAGAATTGGTAATATCTTATTGTCATGTATTTGAATTGCTCTGCTTATTGTCATGTGCTTTACCCTATAAATACTTGTTGCAATCGTTTTCTCATTATGAGGCTCAAAAAATGGACTGCTGACATTTAGCAGTTGTCATAAAACACTAGTGTTGACTCATGGAGATCAACAGTTATGATAGTCATAAATAATTTAAATATGTACATGTTTAAACTTTGACAGTTAATTATAGCTTCTGTGGTTCAAGCTTAATAGAAAACTTTGATGAGCAAATGAAATGTAATAGCAGAAAAATAGTTTCTTCTAAATGTTGAATGTAATATGTGAGTTTTTGGGAAAAAGTCATTCATCCTGAATAAATTTTATTCATATTTCATTGGGCAAAAGTGTCTAAAGAACATACTTATTTCTCACTGAATGCCCTATGAATTTTATTTGCAATATTAATTAAATAAAATAAGTTATGAACCACCCAAGAGAGCTATTGGAATTCTTTATAGGGGGAAAAAGTCCTTTTGATTTCCTGTTTTCTACAGTGAATTAAATGGATTTGGGGAAAACTAGAATGTCTT